AGCGGTACTTGAGAGAGAAGGTCGTGCATCAGGCTACTAAACTAGCAACACATGTAATAAAGGTAATGAGACATTGATATTTATTTGATGTATTAGCTATTTAAAATTTTCCATTTTAACTACGCTTTTGTTGATCGTGACTTATTATCATCAAATAAAATTGTTATACGTGTTTTAAAACTAAGCCTGATTTGTTCTTCAGAGTTTTGTTCTAATATTTGACTTGCCTTTACTCGAGTCTTCTGTTGCAGTTGATACATAACCCGGTATTGTTTGCTCGTGTCGATAGCAATCTCTTTGCATCAGCTATAATAGAAACTTTAAGTGAGGCAATTAAGAAGGGGCAGACCGTGTTCGTTGAAGCGACTAATTTGAAAGTAAATTTGGATAAAGCTAAAATAATAGTATTTCGGAGGGGTGGACCCCTTAGACACTATGAAAAGTGGACATTGCAGGGTCGCGAAATCGAGGTGGTTTTTAACTCCAAATACCTAGGCACAATCTTCACAACCTGCATGTCGTGGGCTAGAACTGTTGAACAGCTGGAATGTAAGCCTCCGAGGCCGTAAATGCGATAATGAGATACCAGTCGTATTTTGGGTTTTTCCACCACAACGAAGCCTTTAAACTCTTTGACTCAGCAATAAAACCAATTCTTAAAATGTATGTATGCCCCTGAGATATGGGGTTATCAGCAGTACTCAAAAATAGAACGGACTCATGTCCAGTTCTGCAAACGAGTAGCGTGTTTGAATCAAAACGTTACAAATTTTATGGCGCTAAGTGAATGTGGGAGAATACCGTTATACGTAACTTATATATCCAGGTGCATCAAGTATTGGACAAGATTGACATCTATGCCTTCAGTGAGATACCCAAGACATTGCTATATCATGTTGCATCAGCTGGACTCCGCAGGAAGGACGACGTGGGCGACCCATGTAAAACACCTCCTTTTCCAGTATGGTTTCGGCTATGCCTGGATCGTGGATGAGTAAGGAGATGCTAATGAGTTTATGAACCAATTCACAACACGAGTGACAGACTGTGCATTACAAAAGACGTTTGCTGATATAAACTCATCGTCAAAGTGCTCATCATACAAACTGTATAAATAGTTCTAAATCCAGAAAGATATTTGTCATTACCACTGTCTTATACACAGAAACGTGATTTATCAAATTTTCGCTGCTCAAGCAACAGTCTGATGATTGAAAAAGGACGCCACATGAATATAGAAAAAGACCGTAGATTTCATACTGTAGAAAACGAGATACACTTTCTACTACTGTGTCCGTTGTATAGCGATTTGAGGGATAGATACAGTACTTATGGACAAAACACAGTAAAAATGAACTTTCATTTACTTGGATTTTGTCTGACATTAGTACGGATGGCATATTCTCATTAGCAAGATTTTTAACTAGTGCATTTGCATTACGAGAAAAGCTTTGTTGCTATTGAAGTGAGTTTAATTCACAGTTTTGACTAAGAACGTGACTATTATAACATTAACAATCATTTAAAATTTTCAAAAAGGGACAATTATGAATATATGTTCATATTTATTCGGTGTTCATAATTACATTACTACTAGTAGAAAATTATGGTGAAGTTGGACATGTATTTTGGGTCGGAGGCCTTAAATTACGGAATAAATGTCAATCATTGTCATTGTCGGTATTAACTTCACCGCTAGTTTGTATTCTCTGTATCACTTATCATGTTAGTTATGGTATCTGGAATGAAAATCACTATTTATAACAATCTTCACCTATGATGTGATCATTTATAAATAAAAGCACATGATACTGAAGTTGGGACAACCTTTTTGACCAATGTTGTATATAGCCAGTGTATCAATATATCTAAACCTTGGCCAATGCATTATATTTTTTATAAAATGTATATCATTTAGTGTTTACTTCGGTCTGGCCAATTTTTTTATATTAATGTTACAGTATATTTTCAAAAAAAAAAAAAAAAAAAAAGAAAAAAAGGTAAACGGAAAACTTGATGAAAAGCTTTATTTACAGGGAAACGAAATACTTTGCCTACCAGCGAGCCAACAGTGCCAATTAATAAATCTGGATCGTTCGATTTATGCTGATCCTGAGCACATTGAAATCGGAATGGCAAAACTTTGGGTTTGTACCACTTAAATATTTTACGCATTACTTCAACTACATATCGGAGACAACTGAACGATTTCTAAACACAATATACATGTATGCCCCAAATAGCAAATATGCTTGACCAGATGAGTTCTTAACTGTGTAATATTTATACACTGCTTGTCTACACGTTTCAAGTGTTCCTCTATTTTCAATACAGGCTAGTGCACATGGTGTGATGAACAGCAACGAAACAATCGATGTCTTGCGCAAGTTTTATCTGTCTGATGGGCCGCTCACCAACATTCAGTTTTTGCCGAAAGAGATGCAAAACTTCGTTGCTGAAAGAGGCTTTCCAGTGTACCGTTTTGAAAAGCTACCCGCTGACGCCGAGTTTCTTGAAGGTATTTGAAAGTGCACCTGATTCTATAATTATACGGCTGCCCCTTGTTAGAGTTTTTCTTATTAGATAAAGGTCCCAAATTTGATGAACATTTAGTTATTATGATATTTAGCAAGTTTCTTTTAAGATGCGTTACGTTTTTGATATAAATACGCCAAATCGTTGATAATGAGATCAATGGAGAAAAACTTACAGCTAGAAAACAACAATAACAAGAAAAACGCAAGAGTAACGCTGGAGTTGGTCTGCAACACATAAGGCTTGCTTCTAAATACCAAAACCATAGATCACAAACAACGTAAAAGATACTAGGCCTATATAAGATCCAAATGAATGCGCCGTCTAATTTAATATACGCTATGTATGTAGATCCCAATTGTATGCCAGATGCTAAATTGAGTCGTTAACTTAGATACGTACTGTTTATCATAACGGATTTTGATAGCACCCTTTCCCACATAATACATGTAGATGTCGGATTATTCAACCCACCCCTCCGTCTCCTGAGAAGAGGAGACAAGGCACACTCTTGGTCCAAATAATCATAATTTTAAAAGTTCCAAATAATGTTTGACTGCCACCTCCTTCCTAATTTCCTAAATTTACTTGACATTCCAAGCGGTTTTGGTGATGTACATAATATAAGTCATTATGATGACAGTGCTTCATTCACAAAAAGTTGGTGACGTTTTTTGTATTTTTTTTCTAGAGGAGGAACCGAGTGACAAAACAAAAAGAGTTAAGAGGCAAAACGGAGAGCTCATTGATGCACAGTGTTCAGGGGGGCAATTTGCTGCATGGAAGTATGCTTATGTTAATAAGAACACCTGTGACTATCTAAACTTTTGGTACGTCTTTTTTTAAATTAGAAGTTGATAATTAACAAAAGTCTTTTAACTTATTTACTTTTTGACTGCCTTCCACACAAAGATACTAAAAGTTTTTTTTTACTGAAGCCTGTGGTCCTTGCAGTCAGTTTTTGATTGAGGAAAAAGAACGTTTACATTTTAAATTGTTTACTTATCATTTGGTTTGTAATGAATGGCAATTACTTTTACGTGTTTATTTTAATTGTAATTTCAGCACTGAATCCTGCAAGGTGCTTCAAAGAACACACATACGGAACGTCATGTTTGTCTCCTGCTTGTGCTGTCCTTATCATCGTCGCATGTCGGAATGTATTCATTGCGAAGAGCTGACTCACGGTTGATCGCCAGATAACGATACATTATTTCTCGTCGTCTACTGATGCTGTTGTGTAATTCTGCGTAGAACGTAAGTTGATTACAAACTATGGTTTCAATCTTGAGAACAGTGTTTGTTGGAATTGAAGATAAATATTCGAGCGTTTATAGTACACACACAGTATTGTATCCATGTAGTTTATTCATTATCTGCTTTCTCCGGGGTGAATTGGTGCCTTTTTCTCGGATTCAATGAACTCTTGAACCCATTCTATCCCGCAATTTGAATTTCGTGAATGATTACTTGATTGCTTTTGCAATGATGCATAGATGTATCTTAAATCAAATTCTGTATATCCAGAACGTTGGTACTGAATGCCAAGGCCTTTGTCCATTTCTATAGCCAATAAAGAAAGAAACAAAGACTAAATAATCCAATAAAAGTTTTCTGTTAAAAAAATTGTAAGAAAATAAACGTTTCATTAGAGCATTGTGTTTTGAGTTCAATATAAAATGAGGAAAGAGGGTATGCATTTGAGGATCTTATCTTATCCATGTTTTTTACAATTATATCAGTTCGCATGAATACTGTATATGCAGTTTAGTAAATGAACTTCATGTTTAATCCTCTTAATGATTACTGATTTGTCCTTATGATGATCGGTCCACAAGTACCACCCAGTAAGTGTCATGTCACACACAAGTATATGGACGATACAAACAGTCACTGAGATCATTGGACAATTCGATCGCCGACTTGACATGTTCCTGGAGCTCATAATATGCACAAAACACGAAAAACAATCCAAACCAAATGGTCATATCATTTAAACGGAAAGATGATTCTGTCCCTCAGCTCAAATATCAAAACTACATGAAAAGATGTGTTATTTTATAATAAGTCTAATGTTAAAAGCTGACAGGCAAACATCTAGTTATTGAACTCGTTTCAATAGTACCACAGAGCTTTATCTTTATTTTTAACATCTGCAAGAATTCCTTTTTATCAATTAGTAATTTTATCTATCGTGTCTGTGTATTAATCCAACCTAAATGGCTAAATATTTGATCGGTTGTTATTAGCCAATAAGATATACCCGATATTCCTTTTTTTCAGAAAAAAAATGAGAGAAGTACAAAAATTATTTAAGTACAGTTGTAAAAATCAGTCAGCAAATTGAGAGTTTTCGTTTATAATGAATGATCAATGTACAATACGATAAAAAGAAAAGAAAAAGACGTAAACAGGGTGGGTATTTCTGCTATATCCTTGACGAAATTATTTTCATTTCCGTAGATAAATATGTTCCAATCAGAGACTGGGATTATAATTTCTGTAGTTGTATAATTTTTTTTACATTTTTTTTTTTTGCTATGACGAGGGTTGGATTTTTTTAAAAAAGGGAGTAAGTTTGAACCTAGACACGGGCACCGCGATATTCCATACGATTTTTTTTGACAGGTTAAGTAGCTACGAGTGCGTTTACAGTACATTACTCTGGCATGATCTGGAGGTCACGGGGGAAAATTGGCCTTTTCTGTTGAAAAGTGATTGTACCAATCAGTGCAGTTGCCGTACGTCTTCCGTGCGTGCGGCTTCCTTGAAGATCGATAATTTCTTTTCATCCATTTGGTCAGATTAAGGAAAATTACGATTTCCAAATTTATGCAAGTGAATAACTCTAAGGCTTTAAGCATCTTCACTATCGTTATGTCTCCTAAACCACCAAAAAAAGGAATGGAAAGAAACCACAAACAGGTTTGACTATAATCACGCTCACTGCAAGTTCACTGAACAATGACTGAACAATGACCGTACGGTAGCTGTACAATGTCTTCTACATGACGCTTCGGCCTATGGGCTTGTGAAGAAATTGTCAAAAGTTTTACTTGAAAAAATTACAGAGGCTATGGAGACCGTGTATCTGTACGATTTCGCACAATGCTGCAGGGCAAATGTAAACTGGGATTTTCATATAAAACGTTTAGAAATGCACCTACCCAGATACGCCAGACACTAAAACATCGAATACCTACATATGATCATCATAGCAGCTGGGTAGACATACAGTATGAATGCCTATGTGCCAGCACCGCCAGTAATTTGCAAGTGTGGCAGTCCCTTTTGGCCCGTTGGTTGCCATGGCAACAATATGGCTGACGCATTGATGTCCATGTAGCTAGTAGGCCTACAAGCACCAAGCAACTCTGTGACTTTTTAAAAGAAAAGTATTCTGCAAACTATATGGTTTGTAGCAATTTTTGGTCAAGTATATGGTTGTTTTTTTTTCAACGTGAAAGGCTAGGAATGGAATAAAATGAAATTTATCTGCTCTTACAGTCATCGATTGTGCATTTTTGTCCTTATTATTTAGCACAGGACACTGACATTTAGCATTTAAATTAAGTTTCAGAGCTCTGAATTTCTGAAAACGACACATGGCACTTTCAATACTAGATAATTCAATTCCTAAAATTGCTATATGACTCTACTGATAAACTCATCGGGGTCAGTTCTTTGTGAAAGATCTTAGGTTAAGATACCAACGTTTGACAGTAACTAAAAATTGAGTTCCAACTTATCAAGATCATAATGGATTTTACTGTTGGACGATTGTGGACATTCACTCATATGCCTAAACTTGTTCGAAATAATTGAAGACCGGGTAAAGAAAATTAATATAGATTCATTTCTGTGTCACGATCAGCTAGTCACAAGGAGGAACAGATGGCTGTGAAAAGAGGACAACATCGCATACCATCAAAGTAAGGTTGGTTTGATAACAGTGCATGGTGTTTAATTCAGAAATAAATCATTTCAGATATCTATCTAGATTAATGAATAAGAACAAGAAGAAAACGAACGGTGTGTTTGTAAACATGATTTGAGGTATGGGTTTAGGATCTGTCAGTAGGCCTACCTAGAAGTTTAAAGAGGTAAAAAGGGTAGCATACGTTCTCTTTTCTGAAGATTTGTTTTATTATTCAAAACCCAATGCTGTTACATCTTCTATCCTTAGAAATTTAAAATTTGAATCTCATCACACATTTGATGCGGTCAAATATTAATGAATAGTGTTGGATACATATTCATGTCTTTTACTATGATCTTAGACTGCAGTGCATTCTCAAAATTGACACCTGCCTTGAGTATTGACCCTGCGCCCTCTTATCATGTTCGCCGATTCGCGAGTTTCCATTGGCTAACTGTGTAACCACAACCAGGTAGTAGTCGGATATAAAAAACGTCGCCAGCGTTCAGTATTAACAGCGTTCAGATGCAAAGAAGAAGGATGAAGGCACACATTTTGATATTAGTTTTTGTAACGCTTCAAGGTATCGCGAGGTGAGTACTAAATTATTTTGATAATTGGAAAGTATACTTATCTGTGTTCGTTCATTCTAGCCGAATGATAAACAATCATGAAGACATTGTAATGTACCTTATGTTTGTAAATACGAAGATTTTATGATAGTGCTATTTACCACATGTGGGCATTTTAAAAGTTTTATCGAAATGCTTTAGGCTGGGACAGTTTGGCTTGTTACAGTGACAGCTGAAGTTGAACACCGGTGTAACGTGACAGAGAGTCCCCCATATTGTCCGTTTCCTATTTGTTTGAGCAGGTAAGCCTCGCCCTAGATTTTGACCCTCTTAGGTCAGGCTAACCCTAACCATTATAAGTAAATAAAGGGCGGACTTTCTGTAACACGGACCCCCAGTTTCGTTACACCGGTACTAATATTGACAGTCCATCATCATGTTTTATCACTTTCTTTTTGGATATGAACATGGAGTACTAAGCTTGGTGCGCAAAACGGCAATATTCAACTTACGCTTACTAGATATCGATTTGATTTAATATTCAAGGTCATTTGAGGACGAGAGGACACTGATCGTTCAATTTAAAAGTGACATAAGTGCTTCCGAGGTTCAGGATTTTGCAAAAAGATACGGACTGGACATGATGAATAAGGTTTGTCAAATCTTTTCTGTCCAAAAGTAAATTGCGTTTTGTAAAGTGTTCATCGCTCTGGTAACGTTTATGCTTTAAATAATGCTGCAGAACCGAGTTTCCTTTTTAAAATAAGGAACTGTTATCTATACTCCCCTAAAGCAATGCGTGAGATGAAACAGAAAATCATGTCATGAACCAATGTTCCTTATTCAACTTTTAAACATTTTATTACAAAAACTTACAGATTGTACAACCAAGGAATAAATTACCATAGTTTTTAAAAAGGTCATATTTTAGAACTTTTTGAGTATCTTCTGGATTGGAGGACGCACCAGTCGCATCTGTGCGTGGAGCCAAGAAGTTCTATAACCTTTGTGCAATTGATGGCGTTCCATATACGGTGCAAAGAAGGTGTTACTTCATTTTTGTTTTCAGAGTTATCCCTCAGTTATCCATTATTCTGAAGACATCCCAAGCTTTAATTCTCTATGTTTTTTAATGAACTCTAATCAGGACCGGCCACTGGGGTCTGAATCTGGTTCTCATATAACCAGAGTGCTGTTGCATTAGTTGTACGTGGGGTAGCATTATCATGCTTAAGCATAAATGGTTGATCATGGTCCCAAAAGATATTCTCGACAGAATTCTCTTCTAGTATGCAACGTTCTGTGTTAAGGTTCCCGTTGACCACTGCCAGCTCGCTTACGCAATAGTTACTCCTTACCATCTGTTCCCCAAACCCTTACGCGTCCATACATTCTGAAGACGCTAAGTATCATTGCCCAGTTATTGGCTGGTGTCCTTTTCAGTAAACCATTCGGCGGTCAAAACTCCCTCTATGTAAAAAAAAGTATCCCTTTCACTTAGGAGCCGCATATTAAAAATAATTGGTATTAAAGTATTTTAACTATATAACGCTTAGCGCTAGGTAAGCCAATGACCTACTACTAACATCCCCAGATTGCACGATGATTGTTTGTCTAGTTGTTGTGTTATAGTAAAATTTAAACAATGGGTATCCTTGTGGCAATGTACATGATTGCGGTAGGGGTGACACATTTTGCTAGGGGAGTATATATTTTGATCAAATGGTCTTGTCAATGTGAATAAATAATTTGGGTTTTGTTTTATCGCGTGTGTGTGTGTGTGTTACAGGCCATGTCGCAAGCCAGATTGAAATCCGTCAATATGTAAATATAGTTAATATGAACTAGACAGAACTGAAGTTTTAATTTGGCCTGTCCAAGCAAGATTAAAGTCTGACTAAGTAAGATTAAAATTTCAATAATACAAAAGAAACATTAAATAAATGTTTTTACGAAATAGTAAAAATACACTTGGCTTATTATAATCAGCATATAATGTATTATTTATTTATTTTTTTTTCATGGTGATTTTCACTAATTATATCTGTTTTAATACTTAAATTTCAAACTTTCCTAGATAGATTTAAATCTTGTCCAGTCAGATTTTAATTTCGCCTAGGCAGTATTGACATTTTGTTTGGGTCTAAGCCGATTTAAAATTGGCCTAAATCTAATCAAAAATCCAATTTAATCTGACTGGATTTCAATCTGGCCTGAGACATAAATGCGTTATACGTGATATATTACTGGTATTGTCATATTTGCTTTAATCATGTTTTTAAAAGATGTTATTTCTATTTGTTTTAAACAGGAGAAGTTATTCTCTTGTATTGTGTCTGTGTTGTTAAAAGTTTAAAACAGGCGGGTTAGACAGTTACATTTGTGTGTATTAACCTTTTATTCAGGTGTACGGTAATTACTATTCATTTCTGGACAAAAACCAAGACAGCGACTCCCTCACCTTACTAGCTTCTGATACAAAGGTAAAATGTTTTTGGATGTAGTTCAAACTATATAGCATGTTATTTTTAAAAATACCAAATAATTTATTTTCTTTTTCAAAGTGGCTTCGTGGACAACAGTTTATCTCAGTTGCAACATAGAGATATATTCACTATTAAAAGGAACTAATTGCAAATATTAAAAAGGCAACTGTTGCTGTTGCTATTAATTTGTACATTTAGGTGAAATGGGTAGATTACGAGACAGAAGAGATGTACACCCTGTTGTCTACAGATGTTAACACTTGGGAAACCATAAAGGATCCAATGTGGCGAACACAAAAGTGGTATTTGGTAAGTATTTTCGCCAAATGGTTCAAAACTGTTAAAATACAATGGTTATCTAACTGCGTCATTTTGATCAATTTCAATTTCTTATATTAACTATTTTGTTTCATATGTTCGAGCAAAAATGGAGCTTCGGTGACTCTTTGAGTATATAGGACACAGATGAAACAATGAAATTATTTTCCATTAAAGTTCTTGAAAAGAAACTGGAGGCGTTGGTCGTTGCCTTGCAATTAGAATTGTAGGCAAATGTACATGCATATTGTAAACTAAGTTTAAACTACCAAGTTCATAGTATGCAGAAGTTGGTTTAGATAGAGAGAGACTTTAGCTAACATGCACGGCAAATTAAAGATTAGCAATGGTTGTTTGCGGTTACACGTACCTTGGAATTGCCTTGATTAGCAAAACGCTTATTGTTTGAATTTTCAGAAGTGAAAAGAATTTAGTTACTTGTTTTTTAGAGTGAACAGCCTTTCAATGCAAAGAGTGGATGGGAACACTGTTACACTGGACGAGGGGTGACAATTGGGCTTTTGGATAATGGTGTACTGGACCATCCTGATTTATCGGTTGTAAGTTATTCTGCTCTCTCTCCCTCTCTCTCTCCAGCAAAAAACGTCGGACTCCCTTTTCTAACAGAAAATGCTAGATTCAGTCTACCATCCCCGTCAAGGAAAGATGTAAACCACGGCCAGCAGAAACATGCTCCCGCCCTTCTTGATAGCATGGACCTGCCAGTGCAAGTAAATATTGGCAGCTGTTCTCTCCCTCTTTCTCTCTCTCCTCATAAGTATATGTCACAAGTTTTTTTTTAAATAAAAACTGAACATCTATTTATTTATAAGCTTTTATTATTAATCTTTCTAAAGGACAGAGCGCTGAGCAAAAACTTCTGGGGTAATGTTCCAGTTCAGTCAAGAAGGTAGGTTTAAGAACGTTTCTATTGAGCACGCACGTACACCTGACTTGGAGCGTTTTAGATATTTCAGTGTAATTATGTGCAAATGTGTGACAGGGGAATTAGTTTTTTTTTTTTTTTGGCGATTGGTATATTTTGTAGGAGTTGGTAATGAGCGCTGTGTGTACTAGGATAAGATGAGATAATGATTTATTGCATATTTATACAAGCATAACATGAAAATTAATGTGAGCTGTTGTTAAAAAATATAATATTATAAAATCCATTGTGCTCATAAAAATTCATGTTGCTGTTAGAAAAATGGTTTTGCTACGTGTAAAGTTTGCTTTGAATATTACCGTAGTCATGACATTGATGACATACCGGTATGCATGAACAAACTAGTGATTATTGTGTCCTGCTGTAACACTACCTTATAAAACGGTCAAAGAGAGTGTCAATACATCTCAATCATCGCCCAGTTAAACTTTACAAGCGATTTTCGGTTGACATAGAATGACCTCAAGCGCCGTAGGAAGTAAAGGCTTTGTCGAGTCTTACAAATAATCGTGTCTATATGTTGATGTACCACGTAAGATATGTATACCAAGAAATTAAAAAATATCTACATGTTTGTTCAGGTGAAGCTTTCAAGTTAGTGGTTAAATGACCCCAGGGATCGCCATTAGTATGCTGTTACAAAATTGTTTTCTTCAATTTTGCAACAGGCTATAATGGCTGTATACTAGGGGCCCCTGTGATATCAGAAGGTATTAAAATGCCGAGAGAGAGAGAGCGAGCGAGAGAGAGAGAGAGAGAGAGAGAGAGAGAATTACTGTCAATAATTATATGTACTGACAGAACCATGCAATTAACTTAACTACTGACATGGTACACAGTGTAATATCATCGCAATAAAAATTAAGTCTTTTGTTTACATTTCAGTCATGGCACCCAGGTGGCAGGAGTTGCATCGGCAAAATCGAACAATCTTTGCGGAATTGGAGTGGCACCTCAGGCTTCCATTGCTGGTAGGCTGTGTTAAATGTGTCACTTTTCCTGTCAGTCACTGGTAACTTTAATGGAATCATATGTAACTTTCCATGAAAATTGAACACTAAATTAATTCCATTGTTTAAAATAAAACGTGGCACTTTTTTGTAAAATACACGGCTCTGGACATTCTATTTACAATATTGATTCAACAAATATGTAATTTCCGATTGAATCGTGCTGCTGTGCGCTGTAGCCAAACCTGTGCTTTTCCTTCATCAATTTTATGCATAAATCATTGTTCTGTATATATTTCTTGATGTAAAGGTTATTATAATGCACTCAAATGACTGATGATTGAATTAATTTCTCTAATACTTATTTCAGATTTGCGTGTATTCGGTCAAAAAAGTACACTTAAAACTACGCATTTAATGGAGGCCTTATCCTACAAGCCAAAGGACATCCACATTTATAGTAACAGTTGGACAATAAGCAACTCTGGGATTTCAGTTGGTGGACCAAAAAAACCTGTACTAGATATTTTGGAGGAGGGAACGAAACTGGTAATAGATCGAGATTTTGAACTTACGCGATGTTGTCACCATATGAATTATTTAAATCATACCTCAAGGAAATGATGATGTGTATGGAAATTATGAAAGTTTTTTTGGTCTTTGATATTGCTATCCTTCGGTTAAAGCGGCTACTAACCTCAGGGTAACTGCCCAGAGGATAGCGATTTTATCCAATGAACATCCATACGATAGCTTTATCCAGCGTTGATGAAACTGGGGTTTAGTTTACGTTAAGGATTTTCTAGGTCTATAAAGTATGCAGGTCTATAGAAACTGCAAATGCACAGCTGATGCTTTCCAAACAATATTCTCATCTTCAAATATACAAACCATTCCAAGCATAATGCATTTTGTAATTACAAGACTGTGCAACTAACATTGTAGCCATTTAATGCTATTTTAGGAAGGCTTTACATTTCAGCAATTTTGCACTTTATTCTTAAGAATATATATTTATGACACTAATGACACGTTTCAGGGACGTGATGGAAAAGGTTCGGTGTATCTGTGGGGAACTGGCAACGGAGGGCCTACCGGTGACAGCTGCGCTTACGATGGCTATTCCAACTCAGTGTTTACCCTTGGCATTACAGCTGTGGACAGAAACAAACATATGCTGAAGTCTGGTGAAAATTGCTCTGCAACCTTTGCTGCAGCACCATCCCAAAATACAGGGGGAACGGAAATTGTACGTATATACCGGCAGATGTATAGCTTCTCTGTCTTTGTCAGTGATCTTTCACTCTCTCTTGATATATGGTATCGTGTCTTTTGTAAATGATTGCGAGCTTGTACATTCTTCATGCTATGTGTTGGTGTTAGCTTTGATGTTCATTTTTCTTTAAAATTTCAGGTGACTACATTTGGTACAGACAAGTGCACAAAGTCTTTCTCCAGGTGCTCAGCCGCAGTGCCAATGGCGTCTGGAGCGATAGCTTTAGTCATGGAAGAGAAGTGTGTTATTTTACTTGTGATCTCTCTCTCTCTCTCTCTCTCTCACACACACACACACACACACACTAGGGGAGCTTAAGTTTGCACGCACGCACACCGCTTTTGTAAACAAACTAGATAGATAATTTATTCCAAACTTGAGTAGAAAGTACAAAGTATTTTTACAAACCCCAGAATATACACTTAATATATACACGATGTGCGTAACAAAAACAAATTCATAATTATTTTCAAGTTGGTCGGGTCAAGTTGGTCGAGTCATTATGGCCTTATAATACAAGCTAATAGAACGATAACATAATGATAGCATTAGAAAAGAAAACATTTATTAAGTTGTGTTATAGGTTTACTCACTAGGCATATTACCACCATTGCTGCGGTATTTATCATTACAATGCATCTTTTATGAAAGGATTTTGGACTAATTAACCTAATTGCGTTAATAACTATTGATATTGTAGTCCAAATCTAACATGGAGAGATATAAAGCATCTTCTTGCACGGAGTGGAAGTAAAGATGGACTCCTGCCGAACAACTTTGAAGAAAATGCTGCTGGCTACAAAGGTTAAAAGAACACTTATTACATTTTACAAATATAGGGTCACAAAAGGTAACATTTGCTTAAAAATATTTTGAACCGAACTTATTTGAGAAAGTTTTGAAAAATTGCCGTCAGAAAAAAATTTCAAAATTTTCATTTCATAAATTGTAATTCAAGCAAATGGGATGACGAATATTTGCAGGCAAGTATTTGGTCTAAAAGTTGAGATATTCAAATTACAATTATTTTGAATTAAGTCACAGTCATCAAATATTTTAGTGCATTATGAACCAGAATTATTTTTCTTCTGTGAGGACGAATATCACAAGAAGACAACTTGAGGACCTGCAACAGTAAGACTTGTAAAACGTGTCACACATCCTTACACATTGCAAAACGAATTTCAATTTGATATTTACAGTGTCACCAACATTTGGATTTGGTGAACTAGACATAGGTCGCTTAATTAACATGGCACACCCTGATAACTGGTGGTCTGTTGGAGGCTGGAAAGAAATGAAACATTGTGTGGTGGAACCCAATATAAAGTGGTGGTAAGTAGTGTCATAATAAGACAAAATTAATTTATACTGTACACGCAGTGCAATAATACAAAGCTATTGATGATTTTTTTAACGTCCAGGCTAGTTAAAAAAAAAACAACCCGAAGGTGACAAAACGAGACTGTCGACACGAGATATCTGTGGAAACTTAAGGAAATAAAATAAATTATATAATCGATGCTCGTTTTTGTAGGCCGATAGCTATACCTGAAAGACTTGTCCAATTCAAAGTGCCGCCGGAGTGTAACATACAGTTCCTTGAAGATGTCCTCGTAGAATTTAACTTGACGTTTCCAAAAAGAGGCCGTATACAAATGCATCTTGTATCGCCATCCAACACTTTAAGATTGCTGCTACCAGGGCGTGTCAACGACATCTTTTTTCAAGACCTGAGTATCACGGTATTTTTACATTTTAAAAACCAATTTGATATACAGTACTTCATGTATTAGGATAGACTATAACTAATGTATACCTTTTCATAATGCTTTTGTAATACTATCTTCCAAGAAATATTAAATAACTCCAATGATCTAAATAAGTTAATTGAACTCGCACAGATTTTTAAACAGACAAACATGGGAGAATGTAACAATTTGTACCGTATGTCAAATGTTAAGATTTACATAGCAATTAACCTATTAATGTTGAAAAATATTTGGTAAGATTAGGAATGTGAAAATACCCATATAAGGGCATGTTAAACTAGTGATTTACGCTTTTTGCTTGGATACACCAAACCTTGAAAATAACGGATCTGTTTAAACTAAAAAATACACAAACGATGGCAATTAATAAGAGAGTGTGTTTTACAGGTCAAATCAGTTCAGTTTTGGGGAGAAGCAGTCACAAACGGTGACTTCCAACATTGGAATTTATATATAGTAGATTCTAGCAAGAGTGGAGAACAAGGTAAGGGATGGTATTTAGAAATTTACATTTCTCAGCTTATTTCGACATTAACTTAAGATACTGATTAAACCAACAATTAATTCTAAAGGTTAGTTTTCTTAACATGTCATACACAATACTAGTCCCTCTGCTGTTAGATTTAGTTATAAGAATCGAACACTCACCTCTCAAACAAATTACGTAATGTTATATCATAAAGATAAATATCAAAACAAATAGTGCACATATTTTCATTTGTGGGGTTGCAAAGAGCTTTCTAAATGGTTTCATCATTCTGATTGGACTGAGTTTTCACTGAGCGTTTTATTTGTATATATCATAATAATTTTCATTGTTTTTCTTTGTTTCTTTGTAATAAGGTTACCTTCAATCCATGAAACTACATTTATATGGCCTGGATAGAAAACCCATGGACCCCAATACCAACGATGTTCCTACAAGCTGCCCGTTAAATGTAGCTGTAAATGCAACACAGAAACCTACTACAAAGGATCTATTCAAAACAGGTAATATCACGTAAATGTCTAGATTTTTATGGGTTCAGGAATAAGAATAATTAATGATAAAACCACGATCATCATCTGCATAAATCCAAAGTAAAATAGGTGTTGAAATACGGGTTGAAAGCATAAGGTTTTGATGCAATTCTATACGTGGCTGCGATATTTTTACATGTAACATTCTCAAACGCAACTAAGTATTTCCATGGGAGGCTGATATCAAAACAGATATGGATTAGTTCAAATGGTTATTAAGACATTAATTTATTGTCATCATTAATGATATATTTTTTTTGCAAGAAGCACATTGTTAAGTACATTATGAAATACCCTGTATAATGTTTAGGTTCCAAGTTCCACACCGGTCCCATAAACAAAACGTTGATGTATTATTAACAAAGTTATTATTACCACCAAAAACAAACCATTTCCTACATAAATACATTTAATTATCTCATTTGCAGATTTATGTAGACAAATGTTCACAAGCACAACGAAGCTCTGTTTTTGCTTTAAAGTAAATAAGATAAGTCAATATGACTGAAAATTGTCATTTATTAAAATGACAAAACTGATAAGATATAAAGTTACAAAACTGGGGAGATAATATAACACCCCCCAAACTATATAACTGCCACAATTTAAAAATAATAGAGTAGGTTAGTAAGTGTAACCAAGATTGATTATGTCCCTATTTCACACAGACCACGAATCCCACGAATTGCCAGGAATTGACTAATTTCAGGATTCGTGAGGATTCGTGAGATTTTGCAAATTTTCTGGCCTAATTGGACACGCTCTACGATTCAGTTACGATACAGGTGCGATAGTGTTACAAATATTCGTGGGATTCGGCTGGAATTGCACGAATATTGTCAAGAATTCACTACCATTTTTTTAATCTGGAGTTCGTGGCCAAAATTTTAAACAGCTCAAAATTTTTGCCTTGAATTCCCGATTGATCAAGAATTGCAAGAACTGACTACTATTATTTACGAATCTGTTAAGAACTTCAGGAACTGATTACGATTCAACCACGAATCCTGAAATTTGTCAATTCCTGGCGATTCGTGGCATTCGTGGTCTGTGTGAAATAGGGGCATTAAGAAAAATATGAGAAATCACAACAGCTACAGGAGCAAAAACTTGGTATAAATAAAAATAAAAGGCCATAAGATGTGAGAGAAGCTGACATCCACGCCAATGTATTTATTTATGGATAAATTCTTATCTTTTAAGAGTTAATTATTCTTTAATCTTCACTCTTCAAGTGTTTTGTGTTAATTTTTTCAATTTAGCTGCTAAACACATCTAGCTCCTGAGCATGTGACAGGCTAATGTGTTTAGCAATATGGTGCGTTTAAAGCAGGGTGTATGTGTTTAGCTTTTACACATATTTCTAAACGCGTTCAGATACTTAACGTATTCTATATGTTTTTATGCTAAACGCTGTTTTTAAACTGACCCCGGCAGACTTCATGTGCTGAAACCTACCTGTGGTATATGCTGCCAGTAAATTTTTAATTTTATAACTAAGAGGCTTTTTTCGTATTTTAGGTAAAACTTGTTGGAAGAAGGGTTTTGCCAGTACACCAGACTCCAAGCTCACTACCACCCTTCGCTTCGATGCTAAAACGTGCAAAGAAGATTGTACCTATTTTGAAGGTTGTAAAGCAGTCACCTTTTATAAAATGCCTTTTTCTCCTGATGGAGAATGCATATTATACGGAAGTGTAGGTAATTATTTTAGTCGTAATAAAAACGGTTTTTACTTTGAGCGTTATCTGTGCTAAAATGTGACAAACATACATGTATATGATATGCTTGGATAAAAAAGATGCCATGAACTTTGTCTTAATTTCCTAAAAAGTTTTAAGTTTTTTTTCTCTTAATTCAGCTAAACTCAGTACACTGTCGCTCCTTTTGAAATATATCAATATACCAGTTAAAACTTTCTTGGCTGTGAAGATTAATTCCATTGGATTACAGTTTAGACAAAATATTTGATAAAAAATCAGTTTCTGTTTCCCGGCTTTTTTATCCACCATACAGACACGATTTTCCGCCAGCTGTCACTATTTTAAGAGGTAATGAACACTAAGAGGTAGCTGTCACCATTTGAAAGACAACCGATGTGATCCATAAGATGCCTATTATTGTTCTTTTGAGATATTATATTAAGATATTCAAACATTTGACAAAATAATTAGAAAATAATTAGATATATACTCCCCTAGCAAAAAAGTGCCCCCCCTAATGCAATTGAAACAGAAAATCATGTAATGAACCAATGTTCTTAATTAGACTTATAAAGGGATGTTTTTCACCAAAAATTACTGATTGTACAATTAATGAGTGAGCTAACCAAAGTGAAAAAATCAAAGCCACATTTTGGCATTTTGTACAGAACCATCTGGGTTGAAGTGCGTAGAGTCAAAAAGTTCTGTAACGTTTGTACAGTGTTGGCGTTCCAAGGATATCCCACGCATTTTAATGAGGTTTTTATCTAGGGATTGAGCTGGACCCGGGGGGGGGGGGGGGGGGGGGGTCTGGTTCGCATACAACCAGTCTGCTGTTTCATTGGAGTAGCATTATCGTGCTGAAACATAAATGGGTGGTCATGGGTTCCATATCTCGACAGAATTCCTTAAGTTCCTTTCCAGTACTTGGGTGGATAGTTCTCTGGTAAGGTTTCCGTTGACCACTGCCAGCCCATCCATACCACAGTAGCCAATACTTATGTGAGGTGCATCCTGTCAACCATGCATGGTTTGTCCTGTTCTTGTTAAATGTTGTAGTCAACTTCCTTTATGTCATGAAACGTTTTCTACGAGGAAAGTGTACTGACATTCTCTCTTCTCTTGGTGTGGTTTCCTTCTGTCGGCTTTACCCAGGCAATCTTGCCCATTGTGCCTGTTTTGGTTATGATGTTATGTAATCCTCTGATTAATTATCAAGGACTAACCCAACCTTTAAGTATGGGTACCTTTGTAGCAATGTACATAATTGCAGTAGGGGTGACACCTTTTTTGCTAAGGGAGTATACATATTGAAATGCAATTGAATGAAAAAAAAAAAAAAAACAATCATAAATCTCTTAGTCTATATAAAAGATTAATTAGCGTTGCTTGGAATTAATTGATTATTTGAAGTGTTGCTTCTTTTTTCTGTTGACGAACGTGCCCAATGAATGTAGTAGCCATACATCTTACAAACAGAATATAGTAAATCAGTGAATGCCAAATGTAGATCACTGTTGTATTTCGTACGCTATATATTGAATGGGTATGTAAATGAACACGTATAGTAGTCGTAAAGTAGTATATATATATATAGTTGGAGCATGTCAAGGAAGAGGTAATGCTGGACTCAATCAAACTACCTGACGGTTTATTGTACCACCTGAGACGCGTGGCAAATGTGATATGTACTGCACTAGCACTTGTAGCTTTTTTATTACTTTTAAGAATTTAAAAATACAAACATTCCGTTCTGATTTAGCCCTCTACAAAATGCATTTTAGCCTGGACGAGAATCTTTTTAGACTATGCAAAATAGCCAATTGACCTATATTGTAATTTCAAGCTTTATTGTCTAGATACATAAAATGTTTCCATAACAATCTCATATATGTACCAGGGTAAAAATAAAGATGTAGTTTACGCTTAATCTGCTCTTTGTGCATTTTACATTTTAATGACAAATCATTAGAATATTAAAAGCAGTCTCTACTATGCCTTTTTTCTCATGCCGCAATCAAAGGCTGATCAGAAGAGTGCCAGATAATTTACAAAGCACATCCAAGTTTTCCCTTCAAGGAACTGGTCAAATACATGTAGAATGAAACAATTATAAAAACAGTAGTAAATTAACTGGTCGATTAACACACGTTATTTAACAAATAACATCATAATACACTGAAGACGCTTTATTAAAAAAAATATGCATCGAAACATTAGTTGGAATGATATTTTTTTCAAATTTTTGATATTTAGATTACAAACACGGGGAGAAACAACCATTTTCAGAGCCCACATAGTTAAAAAAATCTATAATGATTTTTTGCGATTGACTTTGATTCTTCGACGTGCAGATGTACTGTATTACACATTTAGACCTAAATACATCTTGGTTTTTATGTTATAATATTATATATTATATATAACATTTTAATATTAAAATATAACTACAACATATAACACGATAAAAGGTCTGCATGACAATGTCGGAGTTTCTATTCTAACAGGCTTTGATTGATTTTGTGGCATTTGAAATCATTAAATCAAATGATATATTATTTTCACTTAGATTTGAAAATCAAACATTTTCTTTTTCTGAGGCCATTGTTTTAAAACATTGGATTAACACAACGTATTGATATTTTACTGATGCCTACAAAGCAAAAGTTACTGTTAAAGGGTATACTGTTGCAGATTATTCTGCAGATGGACTTTGCTGAAAGCGTTTCATGCCGATCTTTGAACGAAATACAAACTGTCTTCTCTCTTACAGTGCTATGAGTTCTATAGCCACTGGTATCGCTCTCTTACAGTGCTATGAGTTCTATAGCCACTGGTATCGCTCACATAGAAACTGCATGTATTGCGACGTTTTCTGTTCCCAAGGCTGGCGTTTTCATTTCTTTCGCCCAATTTTCATAGTTGAATGTCCATTTGTTAGTATGTAGCTCATTCTAGCATCAAAATGGCCGCAATCCAAAGACAAACACATCTTATAGTTGGACCACTTGGCTCGGGGCAATTTGGACTCTGCATTTGGTCATGATTTTTCAACACAATATATTATGTTATTCACGAGAAAAGTAGGCATATTTGTGGTGTTTGAGAAATAAAGCAAATATTTTGATTTAAAGGGTTTTAAAGTTAGTTTTTTATATAATCCAAGGGGCACTTATTTGGTGATCTTATTTGAAGTATTGGAAGTCTACCCTGTTTGTGCTCCTACTTCTAGTCTTTTATATCAGTTTGTCACTTTGACAGTTGTCATTCAAAAGTCTAGAAGAAATACCGATTCGATATTATCATTTTGTTTATTCATCAGTATAGGTGGTAATACATGCATAGTTTCATTATTTTCCATGAGTGTACTATGATGAAAAGTAACATACATTACTTATTTTGTTAGCAGTATCAGATTCTCAAAAATACTTTTAAATCATTTCACCTTAAAGACGTCCTGTGGTGATTTTATATATTGCCGGCAGATGAGACTAAAACAGTTCATTTTCCTCCTGACACAATTACGATATTCCCAAAATCACTTCACACAAAAGTGATTTATTATCTGGTCAAAAAAAAAAAAAAAAAAAAAAAAAAAAAAAATGAAAATTTACAAATACTTTTCATCGTATATTAAATATTCCTGATCTATGTGCTCTACTTCTTTACTGGTGAATGTAATTCATTGCAGTGTTATTGGTGGTGCTATTTTATTATATATAGAGATAAAAACAATATTTGATAAAATTGATATCTTAAACAATTGAACGTAATAACTGTAATACTTCAGAAGTGTGAAATGAAAGATAAAATAAATATTGTTGTACAGTCATCATGTGTTTTTAAGTTGTTCAACGCATATATTAAAGTCAAAATAGGATAAATACGATTTTGTGCTATCATACATGTACTTTCTCTTTCCCTTTTACTTACCATGCATCGTCACTGTGCAACAATAACCAGAATAAATAAAGCTCTTCTTCCAGGTCAATTTTAAAACATTTACTACACAGGCGGAATATACTGAAATGAACGTGTCACATGACCTGTCTGCTGATCGACGGTGCTTTATCTTTTTTATTACTCAAAAATAATAATATGATCGAAACGTTTGAACAGTACAATATGTCGATAAAGTTGGCTAAAAGAAATTGATATAAATAGGTGGTCCTCACATTACTTCAATACCCCAAACGACAGTTCATGTCGTGTGTCAAACATAGAAGATTTTTTTTATTTCAAAGCTTTTATCCAAAGATGAGGATTAGGGAAAGGAACATTAAGGTAAACCGCTACAAGTGAAGTGAACATTTGCCGACATGCCTCATCTGTTGATGTATGAGATTGAGTCTACACTAACTAATACAGGTAAAAAAAAAGATGACAAAAATTTCAAGGAGTAACATATAGTCAAAATATATATTTGTTTGACTAAGAGAGCTAAAACTGCGTGGTGACACATTAATATGAATACTTTTCTAAATAATCTAGCAGAAGACGATCGTTTCATATCTTCTTTCGAACACGGAAGTTAGTGCCAACGTTAAGAAATTGAAGGGAGGGGAGATTGGCTGAACCGTTCCTACCCAAATTAATTCAGGATGTAGTTCACTAGCTCTATCAGTGCCAATTAATAGTACCGCTTCTGTTTTTAAGGACATGTTACTATACTCTCTATCTTTTGTAGACTTGATGTCTTCCGTATTAAGTGCACTTAAATTGCACTACCTAAGGTCTAAAGTGATTGTTTGACGATAACGAGAGAAAGACATGATCATGCTAAAATCTAATTGGTTAAAACATTCAGTATATCAGTGAAAATCAAAATCGCGCAGTGATGGATAATCTGTTCTTAAGATATGTTTGATTTTTTCCCGTTAATTTTTTCCACGATGACTTTTTTCTCATATTATACTTTTTTATCATTTGACCATTGAATTTCATCTTAATGTGAAGTTTTTAATTTAAAAAAACTCAATGAAAATATTAAAAATATGTTCAACGCACCCCTACCTTTACCCCCTCCCCCCCCCCCCCCCAAAAAAAAAAAAAAAAAAAAGAAAAAGAAAACCTAGTAAAATTGAAAATTCAGTCCTCGAAATCAGATAAATAGCCCTCTTCACCCCAGGCTTCTCGAGCACGCTTAGCTGTGGTTTGTACAGGTGTTGCTGGTTTCTTACGGCGGCGACGATGATGTGCGGCGGTAGGCCGAGAACCTTTGGCCACCTTCCTTGTTTTATTGCCCTTTCCCTCATTTGTCCGTCTAGATGTCCTATTTTCTACACCATTAGGGGCTGGTGTGACAGCTCGAGGTTTGACTGTCACGTGGTTGTTACTGGCTGTAAGGCGTTGCTGAAGACGCTGTGTAGTTTTGTACGCACGAGGTAAAACGAAGCCACTTGAGGCTTTGCCAGTGCGGCGGGCCGAGGCAGGGTTGCTCCCAATGCCTGAATCTTGACTATAATGAGCGTTGCCCAATGTGGGTGGAGTCTGGGCGGTGGCCCCCGATCTGGATATATAAAACGAACATTTTGAACCCAACTGATTCTCTCTTTTAGTATTGCACATTGAACTTAAAAGTAATAAATATAATATTATTTAACCACCAATTTTAAAAGATAAAACCATGATGAAGCAAAATATACTATAAAAAGTTGAATTAGAATATCAAATGTTTATTTTCACGCCGTTCTGCATCTACAAACACATTATCATAGTTATGTATAAGAAATAAGACTCTTACCTGAAATGTTCATATTGGACAACCCCACGGTTAAGTATTGATTGTGAACAAGGTGGCGATAAAGCTATTTCAGAAACACTTGAATCAGAGTTTGTTCCACAGACAGATTTTGGGCTGCTGTTTTCCCTGGAAGCTGTGTTTCCGACGGTGATTTCTTCCTCAGGTTGGGATATGACGCTGGTGGCTCTATCACGGCCATTTTGGAAGCTGTTCTCTTCTTGGTGAACAGTTTCAATCTGGTTAGATTCCGATGAGACGCTGGAGTGTATTTCCTCTAAAATCGATGTTTCAGTAACTGGTCTGATTCCAGTCGAGAGGAACGTCTCAGAAAAACAACTGTATGGAGCGATGTCTTCAATAATACTAAGGTCGCTGTCAGACCCTGGCACCGCTTTCACAGTATTAAGCAAGTGCGAGTCATCTGGTGTTAAAGGCGACTCGACCTCAGTCTTCGTATCATGTTGGACGTTTTCACAGGATCCACATATTTCCTCTGAGATGGAGGATTCACTAGTGCTGATGTCTGGTCTTGTTACTGAGGTCTTTTTGCTGCTGGATAAAACAGAAATCTCAGACAAGCAGCTGAACGCAGCAAGGTCTTCAGGGATGGTTGAATCACTTCTGTCGCTAGAATCTCCACCCTTGGCTGCAACTGAATCTGAAAACATGGATGCGGCGGGTTTTACCCTGGATCCACCGCCCGTATCCACGTACCGATGTTCATGTACTTCCCCTATATCCTCTGGGATAGAGGTGGCACTTGTGATAATATCGGGTCTTATATTTGGTGCTTTGTTCTGGTCCACCTGTATTTCCCCTATTTCCTCTGGAATAGAGGTATCACTTGGGCTTATGTCGGGTATTGCTGCTGGTGCTTTATTGGTATCCGACCCACGAGAATCAGATGAACAGCTGAAGGAATCAAGATCCTCGGGGATACTTAATTCACTTTTGTCGCTGTCGGATCCTTGTTCAGCTTCAAGTGAATCAGGCGACTGTTGCACAGTAGGTACTATTATGGACACGACTCTTGTTTCATTGGCCTGATGTACGTGTGTGTCCACTTCCCCGATTACCTCTACAATAGAGGTGTCACTGCTGCTGATATCGGGTCTTAGTTTTGGTGCCTTGTTGATATCTGACACAGGAGAGTCTTCAGATGGACAGTGGAAGGCAACAAGGACCTCTTTGATGCTGATATCAGTTTTGTCGCTGTTGGATTCCTCTGCCTCAGCCTCAACTGGAGCAGGCGACTTTGATGCAATTGATGCAATTGGTGTTCCGTGATGCTCGTTTTTGATTTCTTCAATGACAGTGTTCCCTCTTGAGTCAATTTCCTGCCCTGCTTTAGGTGTGTTGTTGGTATTTGGTCCAAGGGAGTCGTCAGATGGGCAGCGGAAGGGAACAATTTTGTCAAATGTGACTTCGTTTTCAAAGACAGTGTTCCCACTTGGGTCAATTAACTGTCCTGACTTAGGTGCGTTGTCAGTATTTGGTCCAAGGGAGTCGTCAGATGGACAGCGGAAGGGAACAATTTTTTCAAATGTGACTTCGTTTTCAAAGACAGTGTTCCCACTTGAGTCAATTTCCTGTTCTGCCTTAGGTGCGTTGTCGGCATTTGGTCCAGGAGAATCATTAAATGGATACCGGTATTTGAAGGGAACATCCTTGCCAATATTGACTTCGTCATTTTTATCCATGTTGGATCTAAGTTCAGCTAAATCAGGCGACGTTGTTGCAATCGGTGTTCCGAGCACGACCTCTTTCTTATTCTGATGCTTGCTTCTGATTCCTTCAAAGAGAGTGTCCCCAAATAATCCAACTTCCTGTCCTGCTTTAGGTGGGTTGTTGGTATTTGGTCCAAGAGAGTCGTCAGACGGGCAATGGAAGGGAACAATTTTGTCAACAGTGACTTTCATATCAATTCCCTGTGCTGCTTTAGCGGCGTTGTCGGTATTAGGTCCAGGAGAATCATTAAATGGATGTATGAAGGGAACGATATTGTCAATATTGACTTCGCCATATTTATTCATGTTGGATCTAGGTTTAGGTGAACCAGACGACTTTGATACAATCGGTGTTCCGAGTGCGACCTCTTTCTTATTCTGATGCTCGCTTCTGATTCCTTCGAAGATATTGTCCCCAAATAAGCCAATTTCCTGTCCTACTTTAGGTGCGTTGTCGGTTTTTGGTCCAAGAGAGTCGTTAGATTGGCAGCGGAAGGGGACAATTTTGTCAAATATGGCATCGTCTTCAAAGATAGTGATCCCACTTGAGTCGATTTCCTGTTCTGCCTTACGTGCGTTGTCGGTATTTGGTCCAGGAGAATCATTAAATGGATATTTGAAGGGACCATCTTTGTTTATAATGACTTCGTCAATTTTATCTATGTTAGATCTAAGTTCAGCTAAGCCAGACGGCTTTGATACAATCGGTGTTCCAAGCACGACCGCTTTCTTATTCTGATGCTCACTTCTGTTTCCTTCAAAGATAGTATTCCAAATTGAGTCAATTCCCTTCCCTGCTGCAGGTCCGTTGTCGGTATTTGGCCTGAGAGAGTCGTTCGATGGGCAGCTGAAGGGAACAATTTTGTCTACAGGGACTTTGTCTTCAAAGATAGTGTTCCCACTTGAGTCAATTTCCTGTTCTGCCTTAGGTGCGTTGCCGGTATTTGGTCCAAGAGAGTCGTCAGATGGGCAGCAGAAGGGAACAAATTTGTTAATAGTGATTTTGTCATATTTATATATGCTGGGTCCAGGTTTAGCTGAATCAGGCGATTTGGATGCAATCGGTGTTCGGAGAGCGACTTCTTTCTTATTCTGATGCTCGCTTCTGATTCCTTCAAAGAGATTGTTCCCACGTGAGTCAATTCCCTGCCCTGCTGCAGGTGCCTTGTCGACATTTGGTCCAAGAGAGTCGTCAGATGGACAGCGGAAGGGAACAACCTTGTCAAGAATGACTTCGTCATATTTATACATGCTGGGTCTATGTTTAGCTGAATCGGGCGACTTTGATGCAATCGGTGTTCGGAGTGCGACTTCTTTCTTATTCTGATGCTCGCTTCTGATTCCTTCAAAGAGATTGTTCCCAATTGAGTCAATTTCCTGTCCTGCTGCAGGTGCGTTGTCGGCATTTGGTCCAAGAGAGTCGTCAGATGGGCAGCGGAAGGGAACAACCTTGTCAAGAATGACTTCGTCTTTAAAGACAGTGCTCCCAGTTGAGTCAATTCCCTGCCCTACTGCAGGTGCGTTGTCGGCATTTGGTCCAAGAGAGTCGTCAGATGGGCAGCGGAAGGGAATGATTTCGTCGAAAATCACTCCGTGTTTATCCATGCTGGATCCAGGTTCAGCTGAACTGGGAGGTGGTGCCTCTTTCTCCTCGCCCCATACCTCTAAGACGGAGGTAGCACTTGAGCTGATGTGCGCACGGACCTTAGGTGTATCGCTGATGTATGACAGGACAGAGACGTCGCTAGGAGAGCTGTAGGCTGCCGGGTCCTCACGGATGATGGCGTCGCTGGCGCCGCTGTTTTGTCTCATGCACCCAGGTCCACTGTGAGTGGCACATGAAAGTGAGACTTCAGATGGAGAACCAGACACATCTACTTTGACGGGACCTGGTGTTTCATTAGATACAGCAGCCGGCAATGTGTCATCTTCCTCAGGGGTGTAAGGTGACACAAAGATCACGGTTAATTTCTGTGGTTTCTCAGGAGTGTCTTGAAGTGAGCAGCTGTATTTGCTCTCTGTGCAGGCTCCTGAGGTGGTCTGGTGAACGGCTGGCACCTGTACCTCCACCATTTGCTTCATGTCTTCCTGCCCAATGAATGTGGGCAGTGACATATCTGAGGTACCGTGAAAAGCTGTAGTTATCTCGCTCATCCCGTCAGCCATAAAAGTGTCCTCTAGTCCAATGTAAGATCCAGCGTCATCTGCATTGGTCTCTTTAAAGGACACAGACACGGTGACTACTTCATCGGGACTGCCATTTGATCCACAGGAAACTTCTTCCTCGGTCTCTCTGGGCAGATTTGCGCTCGCTACAGTCTCGCTGGTGGTGTCTATGGTTTGTGTAGGGAACGCATTTCCCGGTGTTTCAGGTGTTCTAGAGGGAGGCGGTGGAGGGATAGCCTCACCTTCTGGGGTCTCACTTTGCTGGGTCCTAGGTTCTGGGGATGGTACTAGACCTGGGACGACTTCTGGCAAAGGATCAACTACAGGTTTTCTATAAAAGTAAATAAAACAACTTTCAAAAAAATCAAAAATCAAAAATGTAGCAATTCTTATTGAGGATATTGTAACTCTTTATTATTATCCAGATAGTGAAAATGAAGTTTTTTCTGCATCTAATTATTCAATAAGGTATCTATTTCTGTGCTGATTTAAAACAGTAAAAACCCTCGAAAATATAAAATGTCGGCATTTATATTTCTCGTTACAATATACATGTATAAGTATAGGCAGCTCAAAGTTTAAATCATCAATTTAACACCTTTCTATTTTGAGATAAGATAGTAATCGGTATGGGGCGTAACTTCATCCCTGAACAAAATTTTATCATTAAAATTGTCAGAGTTTACCGGGAGTGTATAGGCTACAATCCCTTGCCGTCATTTTGGTTTAAATGTTTTTGTTATGGTGTTATGAGGGCCAAATTACAGATTTTCATTAAACAAAGACATTATTTTGCTTTATCAACGATTAAAATCTGAACGAAAACTTCTAAGAAAAATCGCTGGCAGGGTTTTAGAGTACTAAATGATGTCATTAAATCGGCGTTGAAACGCTGATCGTGGGTGCTCAGATTATAGAGAAATTTGAGAAACTGATTTTTCAATTTTTTACCCCAAAATCGAAATTATGACGTTGCCCGTAAGATGCCATATGTGTTAATGTTAACTAATTTAGTCACTGAATACTGAAGATTTATCTATTTCCCAAAAGAATGTACGTAAGGCAGTAAATAAGGAGTTTTGGGCGAAAGTAGACAATATCATTAAGCCTCCAAATGTTCATACCAGTTGTACATAGGAAATAACTGATACTTTTCTTTGTATTTCTGTGCTCTTTTTAAGAGATGTATTTGACAACGTTAAGATCATTTGATCTTCGATAAAAACATATATATATATATATATATATATATATATATATATATATATATATATATATATATATATACCTTAATTTTCTTTCAACTTATATATATATGACAGAGCAAAAAGAATTAGCCTGGGATGCAAGTTAGGTTTAACCCCTCACGGCCGTGTTTTTTTCACGTCACTTTCTTTCTTGAAAAAATAAAAACTTTTTTCAAACACAAATTATATACAAAAAGGAAAGAGCAAAAAGAAAGGTACAGGAAAACATTCGCAAATGTGTACATACGTGGTTGATATCTTGGTTAAAATCTTATCGGCTTAATTTGTACAGAAGGACAATGGCCTCTTTGTTTGAATGAAATAACACCAAGTTGCTACATGCAAGCTAATTTACACCATTTACACCTTTTCTAAATTTATGATCCGCATTTGTAACTTTTTTACTTAGATAAATTCGAGAAATCTAACACATCCTTTGTATGCAAGTTCTCTAGCCCATGTTTTTCGGAACTATGAGAGAAGCAGGTCAATGTGAAATATCGAAGATTTTGTCCCGACCTTAATTTTCTTTCAACAAAATGGGCCTAAATAATAATTGAATTGATGTTAGATAAACTTTGTTATATTTATCTAATACGCGTCCTTTCATTACTTTCAGGTATTGAGAGTGATGAAGCAACGTAATATATAGAGATACGGAGTCTCTAGTAAGAGCAGAGGAAAGCAATACTTACTGTGTCAGTTTTTCATTGTTCTCGGTTACGGAGTCTGGTCTCCTGAACTCTATAACTCGGGTCGAACCCGAAGAACAACAACTGACTCTTCTCCAGGCTCTTCTTAGCCAGGAAGGCATATTTTCTGCATTATTTTTCGCAACATTTTGAATACGCGCATATCTACATTTCGACAGTGCGGTTTCTAAGATAGCAATGACGTCACAACAAATCGTTGCGTGGTTTTCCGGACTAGAGGAAATGACGTCACAATCAAAAGTGAGGAAGCGCAGAACAATGAAAAAAATGACAAAAATAAATTAACAAATATTGTATTAAAATATTTGAAATAAAAAATGGTATTTTCAGATTATGCCTGTACATACCAAGTGTATAGGAAGGGAAGAGATAGAACAGCTGTTTTTTTTTTTTTTTTTGGGGGGGGGGGTCTGTTTTGTCTTATCATTGGACCATACAATGTCGAAGGTAAAGCCTCCACCAGCATACTATTGTAGATACAGCTCATTTTTGATGTTTCTCACGTGTAGCAACAAAGCAATAATCAAAGTCCTTCCTTGTTGTCATAATGGTGCAGTGGCAAAGATGATTAAGGGGGGCTTCCGTATCTTATAAATTTCATAAAATATTAGAATGAATTTGAAAAACATATAGCAAGATAGACGTTAATCCAGTCAAAGTATTCAATGTCTCAGCTATGCCTTTACTTAGCCAACTTTAATCAAGTTGGTGTCACGGCACGGAAGCTCACCAAGCTGAGAGTAGAGGCGAATCTCCCCCCCCCCCTCCCCAAGTTCTCCAAAATATAAGGGCGAATCCAGTCTTGATTCTTTGGCAGTGGGCATACCTACCCTAGTTCAAGATAAATATTTCACAAGGAATAAGAGAATGCAGTGAACTTCTGCATAGCATATTTTATTTAGCAAAGAGTTTTTTGCATATAGAAACATACAATTGGTTTAAAACCTAAGTAACAGACTCCTAATGAGCTCAATTTTTCTTAAACAACAGGGGCTTTATGAGTGTTACTTCAAAGCAATTCCCTTTGATTAAATTATACATGAAAGTATAACAATTTATTTTCTGTATCAGAGAGGAATGACACAGAGAAACCATTGCACCAGAGCTATTCAATTTAAAGAGCAAAAGTGACTGTTATCATGTCCTTCATAGGAAATTAGTTAGGAAAATACCAGCTAGCCTCTACCAAAGTATAATATGATGTATGGATGATTTTATGTACAAAATAATACCTTATAAGTTTAAATTCTTATATATATAAATATATATATAATTACAAGTATTTAACGTTAACTGTCTTGACTAATGGCTATACATAAGAGCAGGGAACACAGAGAAGAAAAAGCAACTTTTTAGAGACGTGAGGACAAAAAAGGTGAGAATATGAATGATTAATATACAGCGTTCAACATGATATTTTACATTCTGACATATATACAAAAACTTTAATAGTTTCACGTGTACATTTCTTGTTGCTATGAAATATATCACTAACACTGGTAACCATGGCAACAACACCATTCCACCATCACAGTTGAGACTATACAGTATACCACTGTCATGGAAAAAAATAATAATGATACAATATATTAACTGTACAAATGAACAAGAAAACAACTGATATAAACAAAGATCATCAAGAAGAGGTCAATTAAGATTTTACAAGCAAAGTTCAATATTTCAGGCTTTGTATGAGAAGAAATGAAGACGGGATTTGAGCACCTAATGTTATGTTGGAAGAAACTGTTTCTGTTCTACCTTCTTTCAAGGCTTCCTTTACATTTCAACATCACTAACAGAGTTCTAAGAACCTTTGAAAATTTAATACATTGTTTTTAAGTATCTGTCTTGAGCAAAACTTTATTTTCACATTATCCTGTTTACAGTTTAACAAGGAAATTTTGTTAAAAATTTCATATCATTGTTCTTGTCTTGAAAATTTGTATTGCACTCTATCCACAAATGTTTCAGCAGTTAAAACAATCCGGCTGGCTTTTTGAGATCTGATTGTTTCCACTTTGGTAAACTGTAGAATTCTTCTTTTGTCATATGGAGAATTTCCTGTGAATTAAAATAAAGTGAAAATTACCAAAAATAATATTGACCACATCACAAGATAAATCAGTAAGAAGAAGAAACAACCTTCTGTTCAATAATCTAAAGATCTATATTAAATTAATAAGTAATTTTGACATGTTATTATTGATTTACAAATGGAAAACTTATCATGTCTAAGAATGGGTACAAATGGCTAACAGATCAAACATGAATAAATTCTACACTTATAAGTACCTCAAATTCTTCATCAGACAAATAAGATTCTAGTTTCAGAGGATCTACTCCTGATGGCAGAGGGCGCTCCTGCAGTTCCGCCATGGTGTAGCGGCTTCGACACAGTTCTGTCATTGACTCCTCCATATTGTCCATCTGACCATCTACGAAGCCCTCCTGAAAGTCAACAATGGAATGCGTCACATGGGTAGTATTTCAAGAGAAACAGACAGAGAAAAACTAAATATGATCTTGTAAGCAGTAATGAAAAATAAATAATATGATATAAAGAACTTACAGTAATGAACGACATACATACTAACAGTAGTACACACATTTTTATATAATAAGAATTAACCTCTTTAAATAATATACTCCCATATCCTGTCATATTCACTTCACTGACAGTAAAGCTTCATCTTGTTAGGGTCTCCACCTACCTTCAAATTCAGGCTGGTGACATCTTCCCTGTACTCCCAGTAGGGAAAGAGATTGACAAAATGCTTTGGTTCCAGTCCTGCATACACCAAGTAGGCTTTGGCAGGGGAAGAGGGATTGCATTCTAAAGAAAGAATAATAGTATATATGAAGTGATTTATAGCAAATTTCTTAATAAAAATTACTCCAGAACAGTCCATTTTCCCCTTTTTTCTCTTTTATCATGTAGGTTGATTGTGCAACATGGGAGTTGAAATGTGTAGGACCTTCTGGTTCAAGTTGCACAAATGCTGAATATTTTTTCCTTTGAAGTACTTCAGTGTGTGTGTGTGTGTGTGTGTGTGTGTGTGTGTGTGTGTTTACCTTTGCAGTACTTCAGTGTTGTTTCCATGGCCAGTCTCTTGTCTACATCAAACCTGGCATGAGCTGACCCTGTCTTGACATTCTCGTCCTCCTCTGTCCCCTCTGGCCACCAGCCCTGCCACAGAAATATCTCTGTCTTGTTGTCTATAAGGCACAATGCTGGAATGGGAAAACAAGTTGGATGAAAATACATGGTGTTTATGTTAAAACTGAAGCAAAAGTAAAACTGTCCCTCTGTATAGTATAAAATACACCTATATTAAAACAATGTTATAAACAGCAACAACAGCAATGACAATGATGATGATAATAAAAATACTGTTTGACTCCTCTGGTGCACACGAAAGGTCATTAAAGGTTATTTAATTCCCTATCTCAATCACTAGCTGATATCACTATCGTTTTATAACTTGCACACCGACTCAACAGTTACAATGTATACCAACAGTTACAATGTACACTGGGTCTTCCCGTTGACAGTCAGAATTATTCAAGTTTACATTGACAGGCGTCTGATTTTTATCTGAAGACAGTCAAAAATGGAGGAAGGATCAACTAAGACAATATGAAAGACTGTCAGATAATATCTCTAGATCCACCCCTGTATATAAAGCAGATATTGAGATGCACACCAACCTGGCTGAGAGTGTTTGTAGAGATCTGTCTGTATAAAAGGGAATGCTGACACATAATCTGGATGTCTGCAGGGATTGAGCACTTCTGACACCTCAAATGTTCCAGCCACACTGGTCATGTTGAACAGACGGGGGGTGTAGTCAAACTTGGCTGGAGCTTGAAAAGAAAGAGATTGAACTCATTATATTAAGAATGTGCAAAACAGAAAAAAAAATGGAATGACAAATTGGATGTATTGATTATTTACAATAAATACCTTCAGGTAAGGGTGCCATGTGGCTTCACATAGGCATAGTAAATTAGAGATCATTGCCTATCTAATTTGTTTTTTTTTTTTTCACAAATTTGTCAAATCTTTTCATTAAATCATTTAGTTACTTGGCTCAATTGTATCTTCAAATGGGGTCCTGTTCTGCATGAAGTTAAAAAGAAAAATAGAGTAGAATGTAAAAAAAGCTAAAATCTGAGTCAATAAGGTGAAATAAACTATGATATTCAATCCTTTTTAGTAAAACCAAACAATTTTTTTCTATCAGCAAAAAATAAACTTAATCTCTTATTAACTGGTTTATCTATATTTGATAATATTTGCTTACATTTGAGCAAGGTGTCATATTTGTCCCTGTCCTTGCAGTCCAAGCCTGCCCAGAAGCTGGACTTCTCACTGCCCTCCTCTACCTCTGTGATCACGATGGAGGCCTTCTCATGGAGACCCACTTCCACTGGGCACCTGGAACAGTGAGACAAACTTAAAATAAACATTGACCATAAGAAATGGCTACAAAGGAAAATGTCTGATATACACAAAATACAACATGACATAAAACCTTGAAAAGACTGCTTTAGCACAATTTCTACATAGAAATTGAATTTTTTTTGTATGATTTTTTTTATCATTGCAATATTGTATCAATTTCCTTATACATTTATAAACATGTCTTGTCACTTGAGTGTTGATAATTCATTGCTTATATCCTCTGCTGTGGTTTATAATATGGTTTAAATTTTTATTTTCAAGGCCCCTGATTCCCTTTATTTTCAGGAGTTTTTTTAAGGATAATAACATTAAAGTAATGGCTCTTGGATTTAAAACAATTCCCCATTCTCCACTTATACACCATAAAAACAAACCACCACACTTACTTATTCTTAAGTCTCTGAGCAGCTGCTAAGGCATTCTTCCTGGTATTGGCAGTGCACTTACACCCATGCCACACATACAAATACCCAGTCTTTATGTTTAGCAAGAGGAGGGAAGATCGACTACGCAAACATTCTACTTTGGCTGGAACCTCAACCAAATTTGTCTCAGTTTCCAGCTCTCCTCTTATGGCGTAAAGCCGCCATGATCCCTGAGTGTTGGTGGACTCGTCCTCGCGCTTGCCGATGTATGTTATCATCCTGCCTTCAAACAAGTTCAGGAAGGCTGGAGGCTCCTTGCCTTCTGTCACCCTTACCTGAACAAACGATGTACCAAACAGAATTAATATAACACCACTGAATTTTTAATGAATTAAAACAGATGTCAATTATTTCCTTAAATGAAATATTTGTAAAATGTCTGCCTATTTCAAGTATATGCTATATATATGTTAATAGACATCATATCATATTTACTTACAAATATATTTTTTAAACTACAGTGATTATGATCAAAAGTACTGAAATCTTTCATTGAAAATAACCAAAAATTAATTGCATCACAAATAAGTTATTCAAAATCTTGCCTGTGGTCCCCTTTCTTCATCCAACTCCACTGTCATCAGAGCCGAGGCCCCTTTTTCACTGATTGTCGAACCCTTGCCCTGCCAGAAGAAATACGCACACCTCTCTCGGCCTGTCATGGATTGTCTGTTAGATACGCCTCCCTTCAGGTTCTTCATGCCTGCAGGCGAAAGGATACTTTGTTATACAAATTATATGCAAATTCAGATCGAACAAGAACTGACAATGTTCCAAGCTCGAGTCAAGAGAAACTTGATGTGGTGAATTAAAGAGGCAAACAGAAGCTTTCTTTTTAGTGGAACCCTTACATATCATAATACATGTCGTACATGTTGAATTTAAGTTTCATCTTTGAAAGCTTATTACTGACAATACTTCCACATATTTTCAAGATTTATAAACAAAAGACATGTCCCTTTGTAGATATACACAGAGTATAAAACATGCATCAACTTGAGAGAATGAAGCAACCATTTTTCTTCAATCAACAACTAGCTGTTATTGGCATCTGCAGGTTAAAAAGAAGGGCTGTATTCTTAGTGGCTGAGAAAATAGATGAAATCTTTTTGGATATCAACTCTTACCTTTCTGTCCCACCAAGAACTGCCAGCGCACCACGTACGTGTCCTGGTTGTGGAACTGTCCCAGACACTCTTCAGGCAGCTGGTAATGATCAAACTCCAGAATATGCCACATGGCCAAACCAAGAGTCAAGATGTCATACTCTCTCCACAGGCCTTCGTACTCCTCAGCCCTAGGAAATGAAATGTAATTCAATTTAGACAAAAGTTCATTAAATTGGTCAATGGAAGGTTACTCAGTGTTGATATATATTACCATTCTAAGAAATAGCTTAGCTCATCTATATAAACATATTAATGTTACACACAATCTTGCCCTAAGGACACAGGGTGATATAACCATACTTACCAGTTTAAGCCACGCCCCACATTCTGTCCCTCCAGACACAGGGTGACAGGAGAGGTGTCTAGAGGAACCATCACCGCCGCGTCATACGCCTTCAATTCTACAGCTGGCTCATTCTATAGGAGCGAAAGGAAAAAAGAAATACATGTAAAAAATTTGTTTAAATATTATACCAGGGTTTGCTGTTAGTTACCCTTTCTGTCACTGCCACTGCAGGCCAAATTATTTCTATCTAATTTACCCCAGCTGAAAAAATTTTCATCTTTAATTTCTAAATTTCACCATATGACTGTGCCTTAAAAAAAGATGCTGTGCATAAATCTTCATTTAAAACACATTTCTTAAGTGTAACAATCCTTTACCCCTATTTGGTCAAATCTTAATATCAATCCTATGGTCATTTTCATAGCTAATTATCAAATAAATACTGTATCACAACAGTTGATAATGTCAATACTATAACAGCATGTACCTTAGTCTTACTGTCTGTGTCGGCTCCTTTTACTGTGATAATTCTAGCAGGATCAGGCCAGTCTAGGAATTTTTCTTTAAACAAAATGGTCTCCATATTCTGAGTAATCTTCCCAAACAGAGACCAGTCTGGGCGTTTATCAGCTTTGGCTGGAGCCCCGCCATCTTCTTCACCTGAGGAATGTTTTTACGATTAACATATTTTGTTATGTTTTACTATCTTCAGAGGTAGAATCTAATCCACATGCACATTGTAACTTATTAAACAGTGATACTACTTATATTGAACATATATCTTTTTAACAATTTGATTTAGTTGAGAAAATCAAATCATAAATATCTTATGATTTTTACTTCAAATTGCAAAAACCGGGAAAAAAAGAGTGAGTCTTGGTACTTGAAAAATTAAAATGTTTGATCCACTTCTCACACTTACTTCTGAGAGGAGAGAAAGGGTTGATGTCACACTCAGAGTAATCGTAACCTTGGTCCCAAATCTGTCTGGCGAGCTTAATGGCAATCTTTCTCTTGTCAAATGGCATGTTCTTGCCCAGCCAGACATACATCTCTGGGCCAAAGTCATACACAAATATCTGGAAATGGATGTGAAAGTTTGTTAGCATAATGTTTAACACAATTGTGTGCCTTCATTAAATTAAGACTGATCACTAAATGTGAAGCAGTTTATTTTTTGCTTCTCTTCAATGTTATTTTCATTACAATATTATGTTTTAAATATTTCCAAAATAAAACAACCAATGAGAACAATGTACATCAAGATTCAATCACTATCTTTACACATAAAATATCTCCACTGACAAACTGTCCATCCCTTCCACACCACTATATGACTTCCTATGACAGCTTTCTTTTTCAAACCAATATAATCCATAAAGATCATACAATCACTAGAAGGAATTTTTCATCCAAAGACCACACAGTGTACAGTATGGGTGCTTTCCCAGAGATTTAGATCGATCTAAAGATTAAGTTTTAGATCGACCTAACTCCCTGGGGGTTCACGCTAAATTGCAGTCAGCCGAGCGGACACCATAGTTAATTACCCCCTTACAGCTTTTAGTAGGCCAAGCTGAAAGTAATCTAGTGAGACTCCCCACAGGGATAGATCGATCTAAAAATCTATGGAAATGGGGTGTTTTACCTGATCTGGGTTGAGCATCTCATACTTGGGGACATTCCCCCAGTATTCTGTGTACGGCACCAGTGAATCATCCTCAAACCTGTAGATCATATTGGTCTGCACCATACATTGTTCATATATCTCATCTTCTTCTGGGGGACCACTCACTGAAGTTTTCAAGAAGTTTATCATTAATAATTATTAAATTTCACACAAACTTACGCACCTTCCAATTCTCCCTCTCTCATTATTTCTCTCTCTAAATATCAACTTAAAACAACTTGACTATGAGTCACATAATATCATTTTTTCTTTCAAAAATATTTGATTCAGTTCTTGTATCCAACAATACACAAACTTCAATGAATTTTTAACCCATATCTCACTCACTGGTGTACTCATCCTGGCCTCCCAGAGTCTTCCAGAACAGTTTCCCAGCTCCCAGGTGCTGCTTCTTCTCGTCCACACTCCCCACATCTCTGGCATTCTTACATCCTAGGTCCTTCTTCTGAACTATGTAAGTACTAATGTCTGAAGCCTGGGGATGGGGAAAAAGAAATAATTTTTTATCATTATCATTATTATTATTGTTATTAATATCATTATTATTTGCAAGAGATACGAGAGCTTGTTATAGATGTCAGGTTGGTTAATACATTTTCACATTCACAAACACTACTACTACTACTGCTTTTACTTCTTATGAGTTACTAGAATCGAAAAAGCAACTAAATCTAACCTTGGCCTTCTCAATGACATTGGCATACTCTCCCGTCCAGTGTACCACAGAGCCATCCACTATCAGAACAAAGGAGTCGCCACTGTTCACTGACAGCGGACAAGGTTCCACCAGCCTTGTCTGAACATGTCTCCTACCTGGAGGGGACAAATGATTCATCAGTTCATGAAAACCAACTCTTATTGTAGATTTTTAAGAATGTGTGTAAATAATATGTTCTAGTTAACCATAGCAATTCCTGAAATTCCTGACAAAGAAAAATCATGTTTTGGCTTATTCTTCAAACTCAATTGCTCTTCTCCTTCCCTTTTTTCTCAATAAAAATGCCTATACCTTTCTTTCTCCATTAATTTACTTTCATTCAACCAAATCATATCTCTACAAAAATAAATCTAAACTGGTATCCATACCAAGAAAACAAAAACTTAATTTCTTATGATAAACCCTACAGATTCTTAATTACCTTTCACTTGTAGTAACATGACAGATTTATAGGGGTCCATTCTGCCCATTCCCCCTGGGGTGACAGCCCCCTGGGACAGGTTCATCTTCTTCAGGGCAATCTTAGCAAAGTCTTCTGTACTGGCTAAACCTGCCAGGGCAGCTTCTGCTAACCCTGCTTCTGACGCAACTGTTAAATAATAGCAAATGTTGATTCATCCAATTGTTTTAAACCAGATAAAGATGGAATTATAATAATTTAATATCATGCTGTAGTTTCCTGTTGAAAATGGAGGTCACTACATTTGAGCATTATCAAAATTAATGTCGTCTTCACTTGAGCTGAAATTGGTGTGTGTCAATGTCAAGTGGTGACAATCTGGGCAGGATGTCCCCACACTGGTGACAGCTCAGATTCACCTAAAGAAGGCCTTTCGATAAGGCTAAAACATACACCCCTCCATATAAATCAAACTCCAGTATATCAATCATAATCCCATCTTTATCTTGCTGATTATAAAATGGAGGGAAGTTATAAGAAAATAAAATGAGTACTAGAGTGGAGAATATTTGTACATGTACTTATAAAATTTTACACATTTTCATAATTGTCTTCCTAGGATCCTTATGAAGAATTAACAAATGTGGTAAAATTTGTAAATCAGATTAAAAAAAAAAAAAAAACAGACAAAGAAAAAGAAATTGACAAAGATTCTCAAAATGAAATTCAACATACTTGCTTGTCTCTTTACCCTCTTCAGTTCTCTATCAGCGACGTCTGTCCTGATCTCGATATATTCAGACTGGATGTCTTTCCTGGCAGCCAGAGACTTGAGCGGGTTTTTCGATCCTGCCTTGCGCCTCTGTGGACGAGCCTTCTTTGCTGTCTGTAATCTGGAAATAAAGATAAATAAGTCAGTGTTGAGCAGTGTCCAGTCTTTATATATGTACCTTAATTGCTGTTCCCTATAGATATTCAGACCTTACAACTTTTACTGATAGCTAGAAAATGATGACAATATTGTAGATCAGGTTAAAACACTTATAGGCCTCCAGGCAACCTGTCATGGGCAATTCCCATCACTGTTCACACAAAACTAAATGAACACTAAACTAGATATCAACCAAGGTTTTTGCTCCAAATGAGGTTGTGTGAACGCTCTAATGTTGATATGCTTTAAAACTATGTATCTCTTTGGGACATATCTTAAGGCAAAATATCTGAAGAGATCTGATGGGAACTCATACTGATAGCAGGTAGCCTACAGGATTACAAGTATGTCCTGTGGATCAATATATTCAGATTTGGAATTGAAAACATACAGAGTTTTAATGACATAAATTGTGTATAAAACAAGCATCTGAAAGTGACTTTTTTATGTCTACAGATTAATCATATTACATAAACCACATTGGATTTATAATACATGAGGTCCAAGACACAATACAAATAAATAAATACTGCATACAAGACATTGCAAATTACAGGAACTTGTTGGTTTATTACTCATATATACTGATATTCACTGCATGCAAATAAAACAAAGCATTTTTTTGCCAACAGTAACTTACATTTCTCCAGCATCCATAAATAACTCATTAAAATCATCCACAGACACCCGCACACTCTCAGAATCTTCTTTAGTCTGAGCTGGTTTTTGGAAAAATGCATCAAAAGTTTCGTCGTCTGCCTGGGGCACCTGCACCTTATTGATCTGTTTGGCCTCCACCCCCATCTCTGATGTCTTATGCTGCTCCGCGGCATGCTCTGGGTCGTCTACTGTGAATGATTTCTGGAGTTTACCTGTAAATGATGAATCATATTGTAACAAATAAAGCATAGTTTAAAGGGAATGCTGTTACATTGTTACAGTAACAAAGAATGTGCAAATTTGTCAAAATTAATATCAACATACTCTTATATATTATGACATATGTATTTGGTGTCATACAAATGTTTATATTACCATTCCATCCTGGTCCAGAATTGTTAAATAAAATTAATGGCACTTGTGATAAAAATTTTCAAATTATTGTTATTCTATAAGATCTTTTGGTTACTTAAAATGGATTTTAAATTGACTGAGTGATACTCCCTCCACCACTTAAAACTTCTAAATGAAAATAAAATTCAGTAAAGATAGACAAAAGTCCATCACCCATTTTGACAGTAATTTTTACTAAAAATTTCACACCTGTTTCTGTCTCTCTCCATTGCAAAGACCCAACAAATTGAACCTTGCAGGATCTACCCTGCCTGGTAGTAGCAGTTCCAGTATTAGTAGAAGTAGCAGCAGTTCTAGTATTAGCAGAAGTAGTGGCAGAAGACTCTTCTTTCACAGTGCTTAATCTAACTATGCCTGCTCCTAACAAGGACTCACACGGTTAATTCAGTCACTACACAGCAATATGGGAGAGCAACAAAAAAATGGAGAAAAGGGGGACAGGTAAGAAGCAACACAGAAAAGGCTTATGGATAAATACAGGAGTATGAATTTTGCCAACAGATGGCAAAAACATATGTCCAATGACAATGCTATAAATATAGTTTAAAGTTTAGAGTTAGTTTAGTTATGAAATACTAGCTGAAAAGCCAGATAAGACTTTCATGTTTTGTAAGGTACATTATTGTAAGCACGAAAATTTGAATAAAGGTTTCAGGGAGAATTCACAAGCTATGAAAAGTCAACAAAAGCAACCCGATTCAAGCAAAGTTCTTTTTCTTCATTTGAAAATCAAACAGTATTGAAGAACTAGAACTTTTAATTATATGACTGATTTTCAATATTTAAAACAAAATTTATGTTGGGCAGTAAAAAGAACTAATGGAATTTGTAAAATTGACTTCATTTCAGTATAATAATCGAAACAAAATAAATAATAACTTCAGAGAAGCTAATTTGTCATCTGCTTTTGTGAAGGTTTTTCTGGAAAAGTGGAGCTTGTTACACCCTTATGTAGTTCAGCCTACTTGAGAAGTTGCACTGAACCCTGGCCACATCTCAATCAACTTTTGTTGAGTAGTTTTAAAAGCTCTTCTAAAACTCTCAGAGTTACCACCATCACCATACTTAGTACCCCTCCACCACCTAAAAAAATCCCCATCACCATCACACACGCTTACCTTCCTCATCCTCAGCGTCATCAGAAGCTTATGGGAAATGAGACAAACATACAGAATCATGCAGGTGACATACAACATACAGTAGAAGCACATGGCCCTGTTGTCAGTTATAAGTGCAATATGGTAAAACTAGGAAGCATTCATATAACACAATATGAAATTTATGTTGGAACTTTGTGGAAAAAAATTGTGAATAATGTTAAGACCTACAAAACCCAATAATACTGAACAACAAAACAAAATGCAAAGCATGTTGTGCCTGGTAGTATAAGGTGCAGTTCATCATTCACTATTTCTTCAGTGACACCAATAATAATAATGATAAATTTTCTGCCGTTTCCCTGTAAATTACCTCGAGGAGTATGCTTGGGTAGGGGAGGAAGCTTGAACGCCCCAGGGGCAGGCGGAGCCCGAGGTGTGGAAGAGGCAAGGGAGTCGTCTTGCTTCTCTGAAAAGCCCAGGGATAATTTTCAATAATATATGAACACAATGAATGCTTACTGGGGCAACCCTAGCATATTAATGTGCTTGTCAATAGATATTTTCTATAACTGATCAAACATTTTATATTTTTTACAAAGCAGAAGTAAATTATCTTGAATGTTTGTTATAAACTGCATATTTCACCTCAGCAGAGATGTGTGTTTATTTATGTTTGCTGAGAAAATTTCACCAACAGAAAAAATATTAATTTTTAAAACCAATTTATATTACAACTATTGTTTTTAACACATTAATATGCTGACGAAAGCCCATATGTCAATAAAAGGTATTTACCCTGAAATCAAAATTGCTAACATATCATATAACACATTCTAAAAACATCATTAACAATTTCTTCCTTTACTTATAAGCATATATATTCTTTCAACACAAAAAGGCATGCCTCAACATTAAATATAATCTACAATTGACTGTTACATGAGTTTCTATAATAAATTAGAGAGCATGCCAAATATCATATTTGAAGGTATTAACATGAACCTTGTTTTCTATATTTCAGTAAGTAATCTCATACAAAAATCTTCATAAAATATCCACAAGACAAAACACCTGTTCAGACAAGGATTATTCAAGACTGCAACTTGGTCCAACTTGCACAATCTGATATGAACCAGATATCAGAGTTCCTACTGCCACTCGGGTCTCTGGAGAAACCCTGGTTCATCAATATAGGCAAGTTGTAACCCATGCCCGATTTTCAGTCTTAAAATGTCCTTGTCTGAACAGACCAAAGAAGAGGTTCTACAGATATAACACAGGTATTAGGGAAGGGAACAGAGGGAGGAGGAGGAGGAGGAGGAGGAGGTGGAGACGAGACTGGATGAGACGAGGACAGTATGTGGATCTACCTCTGGGTAACTTAAAAGAGGAGCTTCTGGGAGATGATCTCTTCTTGCGCTGGAGGAGCGGACTGTCGTGAACAGTAAGTCTGGATCCTGGGCAGAAGTAAACACATGCTTAGATAGTAAAACATCATGCAGAACAAAATCTCAATAAGTTTGTCTACCTGAATCAAGGAAAGAAAATTAAGATGATTTTTTATGCGCTAGCCTCACTTTTTCAAAAAATTATCTGAAACTGATTTCAGACTGGTTTGAAACTTGTGTGATTAGGTCTAAAACCCAATATCAAACAGTCAAACTAATATTCGAGTCATTCCACTGTTCACGGCACAGTACAAATTCCTTAAGTCTCTGACAACTTTACGGCTGGAAATTAAGCTTGTTGGCTGATATTGCTTTTAGACCCAATGTGATAAGTCTAAGCATGCATCTTCACACATTTCAATTCCATTAGCCAGATCCCAGCCTAGTGCACATCTTTCCCAGTAAATTATATAAGCTCTATTCAGTGCAAACTCTTGATCTGTGCACTTAACCAAATCAATAAAAATAATATGGGCCTGTGTATCTTTAAAATAATTCAAATACTGAAGTATTCAATATCAAACCTGGAAAAATTAAAACAAAATTCTTTAAAAAATTTTCAACTGAGTAGCTGAAATATACCACATGCTTTATTACTACCCAAGGCGTGCCTGAACTATATTGTGCTTCTCTATGTCTTTCTGAGAAGTGTGAATGTTGAAATTATGTGCAATATATTCTATATTTATCATAACACAGTGCCTGTGGAAACTACAGCCACTATCAGACTGGTTTTAGACTAAAACATGTATGTTTAAAACATCTTTCTATTTTTTTCTGATTAAATCTTCCAGTGATTTCAGAGTTTGCTACTCATGCAGATCTTTTTGTAACTGTTTTCAGAGATAAATATTCCTAATGAATTCACTGGGAAAGTTTTGAACCATTAACTGTTTAAAACCAGTCCAAAGATGGCTTCTGTGCACACAACATGCTTAATGAAGTGACAAATGAAACAAAATCATCTTCAAACTGATACTGATGTCTACATCTTAAAGACTAGCAACAGAAATTTTTCAATAAATAGGCAAGTACTCGTCGAAATACCAAATGATGTAAAATACAAAGAAAAGAGATGATCTACACTTCTCATGTTTGTAAAAATAAAATCAATATTTCAGTCAGAGAGAATATAGCACAAGATAATAATACAAGAAACAATGTGGCAATATTCATGTGTCTTGCCATTTACAATTATATTTCCAAGTGTTCACATGTCATATAACAAAAACACTAATATAATTTCTATTAAATGTCTTGAACATGAAATATGATGTTGTGATGAAACTAGGAAGCACAGCATCATGATTATTTATAAACATGAAAACCAGCTAATTACAGTGATCAAAAATTTTGAATCCTTTATTTGTTTTCTGAATGAAAACTTGTTCAGAATTTTGGTATGTAAGGATAAACAATATATCTACAGTATGTATTTGTCTGTGTGCAATGTATTTTTTGTTCAAAACCACCTAATGTATTTTAATGTGGTGAATTAAAAGTGTTACTTGAGAACAAAAATACAATTTGTACTACATCTCATATCAATGCTATGTATCTCCATTGATATATATATACATAAAACTGCACTGTGTATACACCATTTTAATCAAAGAAATTAAATTCAATTTCTTCTATGATAAAAAAACCAATTTACATGCACATAGACACACACAAACTACCTTGTTTGTTGATTTTTCCTTCCACTGTAAATTGGTCAACATCTTTTTCCTCTACTCGGTCTTTCCATCCCTGAGATGACTTAGCAATTTGATTGAGACGGTCTGCAATGCTGCCCGTGTTCTCTTTGACATCAAGACCCTGGCGGGCTGGTCTGTCGCGCAGCTTGACTGGGGAGTCTTCCCCACCAACATCTTTCCCTATCCTCTTCTTCCATGCCTCATCGCCACTCTTCTTCAGGAAGGCAAGTCTGAAATTAAGAAAATGAGATCTTTACAAATGCAAACAAAGAAGGGAAATATGGAACATGACTGCAACCTTTGCAACAGGAAACAAGAAATGGATTGTATATTTGAAAACTGAATTTATTCTTGGACTGCCAGGTACATGTTTACAAGAAAAATCTTTCTTATTTCATGTCTTCAAGATCTGAAAGCAACAAAACAGGCAGACAGAAGAGGATGGATATTAAAATAGACTAATATGCAAGCACCACACTCTACATGATGGGAGGGAGAGGACATAAAGCAATACCCAAATAGATGGACTTTTAGATATAGCCAAAAAACTTTCTCTATTCTATACTTTTAGCACAAAATATTTAAATAACTATGCTGAAATAAAACTGACAATATGAAGTAAATGCCATGTCAATGATACCACAGAGTGGTGTGACGGTTTAGTGTGGTATTTCTACATGCAAGCTTCTATCTTTGTAAATGCTAGAGTAAAGAGCCAACAGCTGAAATATAACTTGACATACATGCAACAATTACAATATTAAAGCAACTGCCTTGAAAATTTGCCCTCATTAACATAAATTATGCAAGAAATGTAGCTACTATCTGCATTCCATGTTTGTGCTTTACAATATGCAATGTATGGATAACATGCTGCTTTAAATTACAGATTTAAAAAAACATTCAAAAAGTAGATAATTCAAAAGCATTTTCAAACTTGAATCACGAAAAACTAAATTTTGTTATATCTATAAAACATTTATTTATTTGTATAAATGTCCTATTGACTGGTTTTATAGTTAGCTTTGAATGTTTCGTTTCTTTATTCTATCAACTCTATGCCAGGCACCGAGTTTGAGAGATAGGAGAAAACAATTTACGATGCAACTGTCCAAAGTTTTAGCCAACTAGCCATTTGGGACATCAGGTCTAGGAATACATTAGTCTAAAGTAGAAATAGAGACCAGTGACTGAATAATTTTACAACATTTCACAAGTCCAGTTCAAATTTTACTGGTATTTGGCAAGAGGCCAGTGTCAATGCAAGGCAGATTGGGACTCTTGGTGTATGCTGGACCAATTTTCTGGCTAAAGAAGTCCTAGTCTAAACACACCTAGATCCCACATGTAAACTAACAACACTTGCCAGCTATCTTGGAGGCAAACATGCCCAAGTGAGTCAAGACAGATTTCCAAATGCAATTAAGCAAAGAATTTCACAGATTTAACCATTGATTCTTTAACTGGTGAACTGCAGTGCTTCGTCAAGTTGATCCTAACCTTGTTTCTTTATTTCTGCTATTTTCTCTTAAGGCAACAGGCACATTTCAAGCACAGTTGTGACGACTAAGCACTGCACTACATCATTTTTCCCTCCCAACATGCAACACAACTTAACTCAATTACATTGCTTTAGGATACAGGAAACTGAAGGATTACAATGTAGTTCCCAGTGGACAAGTAATGGCTATATGTCTAGAGACATAGGGCATCTTCCCAATGAAACTATTCTTCTATGTAGCTTGATCCAACTCCCCAGGGAATCTCGCTGAATGCAATCAGATTAATTGAACGACATGCCTCCTCGAGCATATAGAAGGTGACTATTAATTTCCATAAGCTAGATCAATCTATATAGAACAATAGTTTCACTGGGAATGTACCCATAGAGCTTGCCCATAAAAATTGATGCCACGACTACTATGTGGATGCTTTAGAACAATTCAAGTATTATACTTTAATTTAGAATGGGTCAAAATAGAGACTTGTATGAATGGTTACTTGAGCATACATACAAAACTGTCTGTACATTAAAAAAATTAGCTACTTCTCTGACCTTTCTTTAATAGAGGAGCCGACTTTTAGACCCTCCTCCTCTTTCTCAGCTTCTTCCTTTTCAGCGTCCGTGATGGGTTGGGTTTTGTGCCGCTCCTGTGTGTAGCTTTTTATCTTTCTCTGATTCTTGGGAGATTTCTCTGGCGTAGGTGATGATGCCCCCAAAGTATTATACCTGTGAATATAAAGAAGACGCTAAAAACATAATTATCTAGCTTAATTCAACCGAATATCTACAAAATTCAACATTTACCAAGAAAAATACACTGAACAAATATATAAAATATATACATAATACAAATCTAATTATCCTGGCAGAGTTAACATACTGCACATTTTCTATTCCGAAACTTCCTGTTTTCAGGCATCACTGTATTATTTACAACCTGATAAATAAAAGATCAATGCATTTTATAGAACTGCTCTGTTGTTAACCTTGCTATGGCCAGAAGGTATATAACTAACAGTCTATCTGTGTATGACTCACAGAACAGGGTTGATGGCTTCCTTATACATACCTCCAGATACAATGTAATGAGACTACTGACACGCATACAATATTGCACTGAAAGAACTATATATTCCTATATTTGAGAAATTTTGCAGCTCAGTGTGGTTTAACAAGTAACGCCTTCCATGTATTCTCGGAAATGGCCTCAATGTTATCAAACAGTTATAAAACTGTTCATGTGAGCCTATAGCATACAGCATTCAGAGTGTGCGTGCGTCTCCACATGTAGATATTTATTGATAATCTCTATTTGGAATTCAACACCTACATGTATAGAGACCAGCTCCTGAGACAGTAACCAGGTCCAGCCACTCATGTGAATGAATTATCACTGAAGGCTGGTGTTTCTCTTATCATACTATGCAAGTCTTGATCTGTAATAGTCTTTACACATAAAGAAAGAGACCACATACAAAATAAAATGTCTCCCCTACAAACTTACATGCTATACAACATTGACTGGGGTTAAGTTAGAAATCAGACCTCTCTCTCTCTCTTTCTCTCTCAAATGAAGATGTACAGAAATCATTTGACAATCTTGATTATATAGACCATATACTTTTTACCTTGGTAGTCTGCAGCAGCTGCTGTATTTCTCTAAGCCACAGTGAATCATTAGAACAAAAAGTCAATAGAACCACTTAGGCTCCTGACAGAATGATCTCATTTTGTGATGAGAAAGCCATTGTGATATCAAGTTGATGGAGATAGCAGATTTTTTTGGTTTAAACAATGAGCAATTAATTTCTATGTCCATTAATTCAATAATTATCTAAGTCAATGACATCTTAATGGCAAGTAATCTGATATTTTCTTTCATTTTTCAATTCCCACTAACTGCCTCCCCCCCCCTCACAAAGTGTACTTACAAAGTGCTAAAGGATCCATAAAGCCAGTGATACACAGGCACCAAATGTAATCAGTAAGTCTTTGAAATGGTTAAAAACAATGTTAAAAAGGAAATTGATAATATGGCATTAGTGTGTAATACAATCATGAGAGTGAAAAAAAAAAAAAAATCAGGAAATGCACAGTTCTATACTGAAGGGTCGGGGCTGGGGTGGGGAGCAAAATACAACAGTCAAATGTGTCCGGTTTTCAAGAAACCTGGAAGACTTTCAGTGTCATCAAACAAAGGACTGATAAGCTAAGGATTTTTGACTTATAAAGGCTCGGTACTAGAACCTCTACTGTACAGAGAATGGTATGACAAAACCACCCTGCTGTGATTCAAACATCTAAATCGCAGTTTAATCAATCAAGATGTCTGATGAAACAAGTTAGTAAAATTTCCAGTCTATATACAAAGAAACCTGAAGATTAAGCCTTCCAACACCGGATTTTTGATGTAGTTAAAACAGAAAACTTACCTGATGTCTCTTCATCTCTCTCCTTAATCTATGTTAATATCATTGCAGTGACTATTATAACTGTCAGACACCCAATTAACTGGGTCACCTCTAAGGCAAGTTTACATTTTACAGATTTATAGATAAAGACATCTACAGATTCATAGATAAAGACATCCGACTTTGTAAAATTTGTGTTTACTATATATAGCTAGGAACTGCGTTTTGTCAGTCAGCCTTTATACGTAGGTGTAATATGATAGCACTAATATAGGTGACTAAAGGCACATTTCTAGTTTCCGTATAGAATAGTTGTCACGTAAACTGATTGGCTTGTCTTACCAGCATTGTATTCGAGTTTTCACATTTCTATTCCTGGTGTGCATTGAATAAAATCATCACATTTTATGTCTCAACAAAAGTGTTTCAATTCATACACTCAATGTTTAATGGAACCCTAAGCTTTCATTAATGTGAAGATAAATGCAATTTTGTTTTGTTCTCCTGAATCAATGCACACATTAACTCTTGTATTTTATGTGCTCGTACATACTTGTTTCCTTTAACATAAAGAATATTCTATGGCAATAATGATTTTTATTATTGTCAAAGTAAATCCAGATTACTATCACACAACTAACTTTATGAAAGGGAAGATGCATTTATACCAATTGATGTTGACTTTGTTTTATTTTGTTTATTGTCCTTCATGATGTCATAAGCATGGGTGTGTCCTTATAAATCAATATACATAAAATACTGACATCAACATTGTAAACTTCAATGGTCTTATCTAACATGATCTTTGTAGTACTGTAAAGAAAGCAAAACAGTTGAATTTAAAATATAGGACAAATTATTAAAAATTCATGATCTACTTACTTCAAAGTGTTGTGATGCAGGCTTTCCATCTATGGCACATTTCTTAGAGCAGCATTTTAAGTGATTGATGAAAACCCTACTAACTTACTAAGTTTTATAAATCCCTAAAATATTCACACCTGCCCTTTCCCCCCAACATGCCTACCTGTGAGCAGAACTTTCAGATCAATCCTCTGTATTAAGTGTTATATGAAATGTTGTGCGATATCATATCATGACAAATATGTAAAAGGTAACCAGCCTCTTTCCTATCTCACCCTTGGTTTGAGCCTATCTTCCCTGTATATATTTCAGGCCTGGAGCCATGGGGTTCAGGGGGGGGGGGAGGGTTAGCAATAACCTCCCCTTTTTGACGATAAAAGGTCCCCTATGGGTAAAATTTTCTCTAGGTACATGAAGTTTTCATGGTAAAATGTTAACTTTTTCAGAAAAAGACCCCCCAACCCTTTTAAAATTGCTGGCTATGGGCCTGATATTATATTGTCCAGTTCTTGCTGGCCTGTGTTTTATGTCCATCCATGGGGAGTTTTATCTTTTTGCTGGGGGAAAACTTCTCTTATAATAAACCAAATTTTCTGTGTAAATGGCAGGTTGAACTGTTTTCAACAATGGTGTTTGTCCATGTCACATTGATGTGATAGCAAAACTTCCTGAATTTATCTAGCGAAATATATTTTTAAGCAAAGCAAATACATAAAATCTAGTCAATTTATCATTGAAATAGAGACTAGACAAGTACCTGTACATACTTAGGTCACAAGGATTCATAATGCATGTTTCCTTATCCATTTCATTAGTCATCAACAGCCAAATTATATATCTAATCATTACAGACAAAAATATCAAAATGGAGTGGTTAAGATTCAGCTCAAGATTATAATCCATTTTTGTCACTGGTGAAGTGGGTCCTGTCAAAAGTAACCACTAACGCCTCTCTTATTACATTTCACCAAAGGTGAGAACAGTGTGTACTCACTCAACTTTACAAACACACTAACACTACCTCCTCATGTTTACTCACAATACACTGAGACCTGGCCAAAGTTTCTGTTTTGAATAGATTATTATCATACACCTAAACCTTTGAAAAGGAAGGGGTCTTTTTACTATTGGTGTTGATCTTGTTTTGTTTTGATTATTATCATATTTTCAATATACTTACCAGAAGAATGCATGAAAAATATGTCTAGCATTTTGTTTAAATATTTTTACTTAATAGATTAAGGCCACACAAATGGATATTTTAGTAACAAAGAGTCATATCCTAAAAGCTAACACTCCCATCCCTTCTTGAAGTTATTAATATCAGCTTAATTACAATGTATCTAATCATAACTAACTTGAGCATAGTGGACTTCTAGTTACTAAGGTAAAAAGATCATGCTGAGAACACCTATGAAGTGTTATATTTCCTTATGTAATGATTACATAATAAAATAAGGATATGGAATGAAAAGCAGTTGAAATAAGCTTCCTATTGATATGCAAATGTTGGTAAATCTTGTCCGGTTTAGAAGATAGCCACCCTGTTAATCGGATCCTTAACAATGTAAAATATATATATAAACATGCATACTGATCAGCATGGTTACCCATGCACCTACCTCTCGTTAGCCTTCCTTTCCTTTCTCTTACTGGGTGGAGTGTCTTTACTCGGGGTCTTCACGTGCTCGTTGGCTTGAATGATGTCATCCAGGTCTCCGGCTTTTACAACAGATACATCATTTTTGTTTTCCTGCACAAGAGTATCCAGGTCAGACTCTGACAATGACGTATCTTCCTCTTTGGTTTCTGTACCGTTGCTGTGAACAACACCTGGATGCGACAGCGATTCTTTGGATTTGTCAAAGTTGGAGTCTGGTTTCAGTATGCTCTTGATGTGACCTTTGGACTTGTCAAAGGAGCTTTCTTTCTTCAGAACTCCCTTCTCAGGTTCTGTTGCTGCAGAAGGAGGTGAAGTCTCTTTCAAGCTGTCCTTTTTCAGAATGCTTTTCGGTTCAGCCACTTCACTTTTGGAGGCTGTGTCTGCAGATTTTTTCTCTGTACCACTTTTTAGAATTCCTCTGGTGATTTCTGATGCTGACGGTGGCGCCATCATTCTGTCCTCAGAGGCACTGGTCACTGTTGGTGCGGCACTTTTAAGGATGCCTTTCCCAGTCTCCAGGGTGGTTGTTTCACCCTTGGAAGACTCCTTGAGGATGCTCTTCCCTTTAACATCTCTCCCAGCTGTTATTTCTTTTTCAAGTTGTTTCAGAATTTGTCTGGGGTCTTCTTTGGTCGATTCTTCAGACATGGATGACTCTCTGGATCCTAGAACACCTAGGGATTGAGAATAAAAATGTTATCATATAACAAACAACATGTTTTCCTTCCAGCCCAATCTTTAATTTTTTCTAAATGCTTCTTTCCATGACAGACCCCCTTACTTTGCTCCTCAAATACTTAAAATGGTGATATCAGTTGGCCATCTGGTAATACAACATGGACCTCAACCTGTACTATCTTAAAACTTGTCTGAATGCAACTTCTGTTATCAAGTAAGGGAAATGTACCTAGAATGAGCCAAAAGCTAACTGGTCTAGTGACATTTTCACAGCAACCGTAAATTACTCTCAGTCATAGCCCTGGTCCACTGTAACACATATATAACTTCCTAAGTGTCTTTGAAACCTCTTCCTCCACTCTCCAGTGTTATAATTCACCAACAGCAACAATATGCCCACAACATTAACTGCTGTGTAATAACATGACACATAGCATCAGCTGAAATTCTTAAGCAAACCACACATTACTCACAAGTAGAGCCACCAGGGCTCCAGTCAGCAACCACTGTATAATAACTATGTTCCTGACCTAGGAGTGAGCCACATCAGTATCCTTTAGCTACTTCATTACTCCACCCAGGCCTCTAGCTGCCACTTCCAGCTTCTTTCCTGTGGCAGGCAAACTGGAGCCTATAAACCCATGTATTCACTGGGATCATTTCTAGGCCAGCCTACACTATGGACAAGCAGCCACTAGTTCAATCTCTAGGCTGAAAGCTGGTTTGTATTACTAAAGACCTGGGTTAGATTACCATTGATGTATTGAACTGTAAACTGGGATAGTATACTGTTACACTCAGGGCTGGGTATCCCATACAATGCTACAGGGTCCCATGTTTATGTGCAGTGTAAATAAATCATGGTTATAAAACTGATACAGATTTTACTAAGAGAGGCAAACATGAAATTTCATTATAATTCATCATGAAGGAATTGGACCAAATCGTCCTTTACCTTGATAAACATGTTTAACAGTATGAGCCACATGTATCTACCTGTCTCTCACCTGTCCTCCACTGAGCCAGCGTGACCTAGTTTACTCCATACAAAACCCCTCCTTAAGAAATTACTATGTTTGACGTGTTATGTAAGCAAGCTGAGGCACAAGTGCCATTATGATCTGCTTAAAGCAAATGGCATTCCTTTGCAGTAAGGACCAGGGCATTAACAGGTTGCCCCCTATGCTATCACAACAAGTGCTCATTTATCAATTAATTAATATAAGTCTTTCACAGGGGTCGGCAGTTTTGACAAGTCCAGAAATGGCCCTGAATTTGTCCAATTCTATGTATAACATAAGGGCACTTCTAATTCTTCTAAAAGTACCCCTTTCCCATTATCAGGCCCTTTGTTTATTAATTAATAGTAGAATAAAATACTGTGCTGTTTTAGCTTCCATAAATAAGTCACCATACTCAAAGGAATTAACTCTCAACTTGTGTAACTTAACTTGCCTAATCTTTCTATACAGCAAATAAACTTCCAACCATATTCTCTTCAGACTTGAAGATCAACATGTTTTCATTCAATTATGTGCAGTCAATTTACAAATAGTTCATATCAGGTATTAATGATGTTGATTGCATTACAGCATGCAGAATCTTTATCATGACTTAAGTTAATCAACATACCTGTTCAGATCAGTTTCAACTTAGTATTTTAACATACATGTATTTTGGGCAATTTTAGAACTTGTCTGAACAAACTATATGAGTAAGTTTTGACCCCAAGAGATGTTCACACCTCCAATATTTCCCTTTCTTGACAGCATATATTTTTTGATGAAAATAAGTCAGAACAATAAGCAACTTCACAAATCAAATCAAAAAGTTTGAAAGGACTTTGCTTAAAGCACTGCACTGTCATACACTGAAAATAAATTCATCATCTCAGTAACATTCTGACACTTTTATATACTATAATATAGTTTTCTTGAGTTGTGATGAGATAACTCAGAAGCATATTATTGATAATTTAGAATTTAATTAGGATTTATTTTATCACAACTGCAGGAAACCTTTTGATTATAATATCCCCAAAGATAAAAATGTCTAACTTTTTCATATGCCTCCTTTTTAGCACATTAGTATTCATACATGTATATACACACAGGCAGTAGAAAAAGAATACCTTTGGCTTTGTTATCTGACATGGAGCTTCTTCTTGATCCAGGCTGTGAACCAGGCTGTGAATTAGGCTGGGAACTAGGCTGGGAGTTGGGCTGGGAGTTAGGCTGAGAGTTGGGCTGTGAGTTGGGCTGTGAGTTGGGGGCAGAGAGAACTGCTCCAGCGTGTTGGACCATAATATCCCTCTGGGCACTCAATGGAAGACCTGAAGACAAAGGAGAAAATAAAGTTTACACATTAATACATTATAATTACAGTAATATTAAATCACTGCAACTTACATGTCAATATTAATTAATTAATAGATCTGATGGATGGTGATAGGATGTTTCCATTTTCACTCATCATTTTAATTAGCATATTTCCAAACAAGCCAAAATATGAGCCAATAGCATATAATGTACATGTACAATGTCTTTGCTGGGTAAGTTATTCCCTACAAATATTCTATTTCAAATCTTTCCTAAAAAAAAAAAAAAAAAAAAAAAAAAAAAAAAAAACATGTAACAAATAAACAGGTTGAGGAGGTCCTTATAATGACAATCAAATATAAAATGTGACGTAGATAAATTGCAATTTTAATTAACAATGTATGGCAGAACCATAGGTTGATTAAAATTATTAATTAGAGCTGTCATATCATATCTTGCCATGTATTTTGAGAGATATCTTCCACCCAACAAAAGATAGTGACCTTAACGTTACTTATACAAACTGAAAAACAGGACTTCTTCAAACCTGAAACTGAATGAATTCTTTCTTATCAGAGACATCAGACAAATAAACCTTAGGTTTGATTCTCTGTTGATGCCTATTGCTTTTTCCATCTCAACTGTCCTTGACTGGACACACCTTGAATTTCATGGCCGAGGAACCAGAGTTGGACAAAACTTTTGTTGTCATTCAACCATTGCTACAAGTTTCCTGCTGCATTAGGCTACGCCTATCTTGTCAAAAGAAAAGCTTTTGTTCACGTAAGCTCTCGGGGATGGCATTAGTGCACTCCGCACGCATAATCTATTCGTTATCTTCCATTTTCAATCACCCAGAAATGGAGGGACCATGAACCATAGTGACCCCCTATGACTGAGTGAGATGTGGTAAATGTTGCAAAGCTCCGAATTTCATGGCAGATGTAGTTTCAAATTGAACAACAAATGGTATTCACAGTGGAAGGAATTATGGTTCAGATGGTAAATATTCTAACACAATGTGCACACAGGGCTGAAGGTGATTCACGTCATCCGTGTTTTTTCCTGGCATTACTCACACTATCTTATCATTTATTGGGATTTACAGATAAAATGTTTTCGTATTATTTACACTGAAGTAAAACCATACACCTTGAATTTATCATCAGTTGAATAAGTAAGTGATAAGGATTCTATTTATTTAGAATACGCCAGCTGCAAAACTTGTTCTCAGTTCACTTGCTGTTAATAAATAATCCCTTCAAGCTCCAGCTTACTAACTTTATTAGTCTCGCTGGAAATTTTTCACTCTTAGGTACATGTGCATCGGGGTCAACTGAGTGCAATGTTGTTTTTTTCTGCCCCCAGCTGGTAATTACTAACAAGATAGGACTACAGGTCTCAACATTGTAGGCTTTGATCATGTTGACCAGACACTATGCCCTCGGCCCCCAGTTTACTGTCCTGGCACACCATCTCCTATCACTGTTATAACAGGTGTCTTAGGGCATACTAATTAGGACAAATAAAAAACCCACCCCATGTACAACAGTGTGATGAAATGTCAGCCGCGAGGTCTGGGACCAGTACAAAATATCCGTGTTAACTTTGTCAATTAAGATCCTTTTCACGTCCAGCAGCACAAGTTTTCTGTACTATCAATCCTTATATATGATCAATTGGGGAAAGGGGGCTACACACTTTCACAAGGCCCTATATTCTAATTGTTATCTATCTGGTTAACTGGTTGTGTTGAACACATGAGCTCTGTTATGTGGTGACCCTCTTCTGTAATAACAATACTATTACGTTGTTCATCTTTCACACTGGTGTCATACAGAAAACTGTACCACGCAATATGAAAAGGGTCTATACTAAAATTTTGTCTCAGCAGTTTTAGATCCTTGTCTTTTTTGTTTTGGATCTGATTCTTAAAGGTTGGTTTATTACTTTGTTAATGTTATGTTACTGCTGGTTTCTTGGACATTACTAATGAAATGCTCCTATGGAAACTGAACTTTATGATTAAAGGCAGGTTTTTTTTAGATAAGCATGCTTGATTTAACATTTACTTTACATTTACTGAGGTTTCATACACACAGAATTAGTTAACTGGATGATTATTTCTTGTTGAATCAACTGAACTTTTTACTGTGGGAAATGATCTGCTGAAGCTGAAATAAGTTATCCCCTTCTGTTATCACAAACCACCAATTATCTTTTATTTAAAACTCCTGATAAAGCTCATCAATCTCAGAAAAAAACTACTATAAAAACATAATTTTCCTTAAAAACAAAGAACATTTTGGCCAATTTGCTTCAGAGGTAACCAAAGAAGTACACCTAGCTGGCTGCCACGGACCACATCAAAAAGAATGTTTGCTGAAGATTGAGAGAACACTACACTGCCCTGAACAGCCAAGGGGAAAAACTCCTTCCACCATGGCCATTCACTTTGACAGATTGGCTGGTAAATGTATGAGATAACTAGCAGCCCTTTTACATGGAGTATGCTTTTGAAAAATACTGAACAACCACCCTGCTGTTTCCCATACAAATACAACATACAAAGACGTACGAAACCCAAAATGTAATATTTCTGATACAAAGTAAGTTTTGGAGGAAAAAGAAATAAGTGCCTAATTTGTAAAGGAAGCAGCTCCTTCCTCCTATTATACCAAAACTTGGGTCAAATAATAGTGATGAATGGATATCCAGATGGTAAAAGGATATTATAACAACTGGAACTGTACTTACATTGGCAGGTCTACATGTCAGACTTCCTCTCTGGGCTGTGGAATCTTAGTAATTAACAGGGAAAATTTCTGTATTTTGGAGAAATGAGGGCTGTTATTTGCAAAGCTGCATCAGCCAGAACTCGAGTCCTGTGGGTTTTTTTTAAGGGCAATAGTGTGCGCACGTGTACATGTATAATGGGGAATATCCTTGTGTAACATTTTTCATAAATTACTAGTAATAAATCATACATTTCCTTCATAAATCCCAACATTAAATCTTGCATTGTCTCAATTAACATGAAATCATTTTGCCATCATTTTCTTGGCTCACCATTTCACTGTAAGTACCTTTACCTGTGAGGACATGACAGGTGACAAAACGTCATGGAATTTTTTATGGCAAAGAATTATCTTTTGCCATCTTGCTGAATTAATAACCACACACTAAGCATAACCTATGTATCTATTATCCCATGCAAGTTCAGGCATAGACTATATGAATATTAGCAGCCTAAAAAACAATTCTACTTTATATTAAGACAATAATTGCAAGGTCTCTTAAATCATATATTTAAAGCCTGCTTATTTGTCATTTCAAATAAATGATATGAAAAGACGTATTTTTCTATGGTAATCACTGTGAAAATATTTATACCCGTATACAAACAAATTCATATTATGTATTTACCTACCAAGATAGAGTAAAGCAACAAAGATCTACTCTCCTCCACCACCACCCCCCCCTGTAGCTGGGGACGGGGGAGGGGGGGCATATGGTATACTCTCTATTCCACTTACCAGCCAGAATTTCTGGATCTGGAGGCTTGATGAAGGTAATGGCCAAGGGTGATATCCTAGAAGTGCTGGCTTTCTCTACCTCCTCTGAAGTAACAGGCTGGAAGAGAACGGAAACTACATATATATGTGAATATGTGTATATATAGTCACATCCTAGGGTATCAGAGGGGGTTCACATGTAAACTGTACCCAAGCTGAAACATGAATGAAAATGCTTCAGAGTTCTTGCTTTTCATTTATCTTTGTCTTTGTCAACCTGTAGTGCAAACTGAGCAAATTCAGTATTCATAAATCAACATATACCTAAATGTTAAATATGTGAGAGTCACATAGATACCCCCCCCCCCCCAGTGATAGCCCCCCATCCACACGACCTCTGACCTCCAGGCACTGGTACAGCTACATATTTGTACCTCTGCCAAATTATCTCCAAACCCTGGTAATAACCTTGCTGCTTAAAAACAGTTGAGGTGTAAGTTGCACCTTTTCAGTGAACTTCCTATCCCTCAGCCATCAGGGGTCAGATCATCAACCAAACTAGAAATTTTCCTCTTGGGTAGCCATCCGTCCTAGGAGGGTAAGAAGGTGACACCTTGGGTCCATCTCCACTTCCTTTGGGCTAGGTTGACACCAGACAAAATTCTTGCTTGGTTGAAAACCAGTTAAAACCTGCTTTAGTGCCTTCAAGTACTAGGAGTTAACAGTAACTATTGCTTTTCTTGATTTGGAAAATAATTGCAATCAATACTGAAGTTGATTGCAAGAACTAGTTAAGAACTAATTCAAGACTGGCTCAAAACTGGTCAAGCTGGTCATGGCCAGTGCGATATGCCATTCACTGTGACAGAGGACCATCCTTTGGATGAATAAGTAACTGCCCAATCTCCTTCCACTGGAGTAGCAATAACGCAGCTCTGAATTACTTTAATGGCCTTTTATGTTTCCTCACCGTTTGAGAAAATCTCAGCATCATCTTACACTGGTCACGAAAGGGAAACGGAGTCCATTATAAAATATCTCATCTCTTACATTACAAAGACCAAGTAAACATGGCTACTGGGCATGTGACTGAGCTCCAGTGATATACCCTGCTAGAAAAACACAGGGTGTACCTTGGATTCAAAGATACCCAATATGAAATCAATCAAAAACTCATCTCACAGTGATTATCAATACAAAAGATTATATCAATCTCATCAATTATTTTTGAATCTCATTCATACCAAGCCCCTCCACCCCTCGCACAATTCAGCAAGCCTTCAAGGCTAATGACATAACACTCTAATGATATACCCGTCTACAAAAACACAGATTCTTACCGATTGAAAACCACTTCACAAAATAAATTCAATGAAAACAGAAACCTAAGATTCACTCATCATGGGTGGTAGGTCTATAACTTACTCCGTTCATAGGTTTAACCTTTCATGAATTAAAGGATTGATCAATGTTGAAATATTTCAATTTAAGCTACACCTTGGAGGAATGCTGCCTTGCATGGCTATATGCTTATTTCAAAACCATGATCAGAAATATGGTAGTTAAGGGAAAATCTAGAGAAAAACTGTTAATATCAACTTAAGATAGTACTACGTACATTAACCTTGAATACATAATGAAATTACATTACAAAACATTTTAGCCGTACAATCTTAGCACGTAAAGATGTGCCAAGTTACTCCGTCACCAACAACTTGATTAAAGAGTAGAAGAGCAAAAAATGTCACAATTTGGCTCTTGTAGCTAGGATCTGGCACATAGGACTCTAGTAGTGTCTCTATGTTGACCTCCTTGAAGAATAACAATACCTTCACCTGAAATAGGTGTTCCCCAAAGTACATTTTCATAAACTTAACTAAACCCTTTTTTACTTCTAAACCCATTTCAATCATTACCCCTCAAATATCATGGTAATATTTGAGTCATATCACAAAAATAAAGCTATTCTACGAGTTGCATCAGTGATATACATACTATATGTGTAATACCTGCATTATTGTTTTTATCACTTTTTGATAACTGCTTATTACTTCTCATATTGGAGTGTACTATAGTATTATAGACAATAATGGGGCATGTCATGATTATGCAAATATTACACAAAATATGTGCACCACTGACATGACTCATATAATGAAGTTTTTTTTTGGAATGTCCTATTTACAAGATGTGTCTAACCAGGTCAGCATAAACCACTATATACAATATAAAACTAATACATCTTTTTACCATTTCTACGTATCTCACCTGTGTCTTAAACCTTGAACCCAATCTTCTCATTCGCCGCCTGGTGACTGGCGCATCAGGACGCAATGGTTTCTTGCTCTTTGGTTCCTTCTTTTCTTCAATCTTCTGTGAGAAAAGTTTCATCTTCTCTGCCAGACTCAACCTGATGGAAAATATACAAGCAGTGACATTGTGCCCCGATTACAACATTAGCTCCAAATAGATAGCATGTTATTTCTTTTTTGTTGGATATTGGCTTACAATTGTGATATATTATGTGTACCTGTATAATTTACTTGCTAAATATATCTTTATCTTTCATGTTCAGGTACAGAATTATTTTATTAAAAGGAATATAAACAAATATTCAAGAATAATTTTAAAAGAAGTTTTCTTCACTGTGAAAAGGTATTTTGGAACAGTAAAAACATCTAAACAGGAACTATATTCACAATAGCTGAGAACCTTTGAATGTTCCTATCATTTCAATGAAGTCAGATGTGAGATTTAAAATGCTTTGAGAGCATCAAATTTCGAGCATACAGGGGGTATATCTCAAAAGGTTATACTTTTGTAAGGTTTTTACTTACAAATATTTTTATGCATCACAATATTTAACAAATCAATCCAGATCAATACTTGGGTGAACTAAGATCCAAATAGAAACTGCAAAACATTTAGGGGGTAAGAAATCTCCATTCTGCCCTAATAGTCTAGATGACTGGTGCAAAAAATGCTCAAAAGGTGGAAAAAGCATGAAACTTGGCACAAATGTTCTTTGTACTATGCTGATCATTTTCAAGGGCAGTGCCCAAAATTTCAAAGCGTTTCTTAGCAACCGTTGCTAAGGAAGTGATTTACCTTAGTAACAAGCTAATTGGACCTTTCTTGTTCAGTTTAAATGATTTAAAAAGGCTTTTAATAATGTTTCAAACCATCAGAACTATCACTATACTATTTTAAGACATTAAAAACCCAAGTAAACCATTGCAACAGTTGTTAGGCAGCATATNCCCTATCCCCACATCGCTGTCACTGATGTCACCCCTTGGAGAGATTTCCGAGGTATCAAGTCTCGATGAATCCCAACTCCGGGTGAAGAGAAGATACCCAGATTCTTGTTGTTTAACTGGAGTGGTGCCTTGTCTCAAAGGTCTTGTGGGAAGAACAGCAGACACCGTGGACGGTCCTTTAAATACACTAAGCTGTAGCTCAGGTACAGTCACAGCAGGCGTGGTCTTAGTCAGTACGTCGTACTCTGGTATAGCACTGAGCTCTTCTCCAGTGACGGGCAGGGTTTTGTATCTTCCCTGACGCCGCTTCTCAGCACTGCTGGTCTTTTTCTTTTTCTGCTTCTTCAAGGTTTTGGATAGAGGCTCAGGATATTCTAGTTTATCTCCTGGTTTGTAGGTGGCCTCGTGGGATACCCATGGCTTGACCTCTTCCTTCTTCTTCAGTTGTTGGAACACATTTAACGAGGCTTGCTTTGTCACTTCTGCTCGAAAGGCAATAACAGTTGGCAGACTGAAAGGAGAGACAAGGACGTATATAATATAAACCAAATCAGAATGTACTTTAAGCATCATAAATCACCCAAAATAATGAATAAGTCCTTATACTACAATATCAAGTGATTTTATGACCACAGTAATTTGAAAGATGCCGTCATAAAATCCCCAAAAGTGTACTTGTATGATGGCCATTTTATGAGGGTATTTCTGGTGTGATGTCATGGAGGAAGGGATGTTTGAGTCATCTAAGATATGGATAATTCACTATCCTCTACACTATCTATGGCAGGTGTACATATGTCTATATTATGAATCAATAATTTTATCACATTTCTGCACAAACGCAGGTGCTTACATATACCACCATAAATTTTCTCTACAAACGCTAGCATTGTGCCCTACAGGAATGAAAGCCATATAAATCATAAGTAATATCTGCGTGAAAACAAAAAAGTGCGTAATACTTTTGCTTATTGAGTAATAAATCAACATCTACTTCACCGACCATCTACAACTTGGACATTTGTCGACATGAGATCACATTACATTTTATTCAATTATTTTTTTTTATCAGTAGCTAGAGAGTCTTACTCAAGGCAAAAAGTGATGGAAAGTGTTAAGGTTTCAAACAAAATAGTGAGCTTTTTTTTCTTTTTTTTTTTTTTTACAAAAAAAGTACTCCATAGAACATGCATGTTTTTACCTACTTTTTTAATGTGTAACAAACTAGGCAGCATTACTGGAAAGTACACAATTCATTTTTTCCAGAATTTATTGGAAGACAAAGAAAGGGATGGCTATGGTGGCCATAGAAAGCACTATGGTATTATAGTGATTTAACAGGTAGAATTGGATTTGATGATATCATTTCTGTGTTCACGAAACAAGAAACTAACATTCTTAGATTACAAATCATACTACCCTGCTACAAACATTGATTCCCCACACATCTTACCTGTCTGCCTCCTTCACTTCCTCTTCTGTTATAGGTTGTGTGCGTGTTCTCCAGTCGTCGTGACTTCTCCTTTGAAAGCGTCGCCTCCTTGCAGCTGCGGCATTAGAAGCATCTGCAACCCCTGCCAGGCGTTCCATCAGCTTGTCCTCCATATTGATTCCAGACTGTGCCTCAAACTGAGGGGTGGTGGAGCCAGAAGATCTGCAAGAGAACCCCCAAAAAATTAATCACTGAAAATATAGTCTTTGCTCATACTGAGATATATGATGTTTATCAAATGCTGTGGATAATTTATACTGGCTAAATAAAGAAGTGAGAAACACGGAATTTGATGAAATATAATTATTTGTTTAAGGTAAAAACTTCAGCATTCACTGCAGTGGAAATAATAAGAACATAATCACTCTAGCATGGAAGAAAATGTATATAACCAGTCATGAGAACTCAATTAAATAAAAATCATGAACAGAATTATAAACACATACAAGGCAGCATGTCAATTAGGAAAAAATACATGGACAATAGCAACAGATAAACATCATTACATTTCCAACACAAATCTTATCAAACAGAGGTGTTTCAATCTCCTGAGGATATTTTTCTCTCAAATTTAGACCATGTAAGAAAACAAAAGTATTTTTGCTTCTGACCACACAATCTTCATTGTTTGCCCTAAATGTTTCTGGCGGCAGTACCATTCCCAAACTTCCCCACACCTTGATATGAAAGCTAAGCCTACTAAAACATAATATTTGTTAAATTTGATCATTAAAATCTTCTTAGTTCAATCATGTTGCAAATCAAGACCAACTATGAGATATTGATAAAAGTAGTTTCATTTTCCATTTGAAAAAGAAAACATACAGAGTACTTAAAATCCTTTGTGCTTTCAACAGTTTGACCTACCTCAATGTACCTGCCCTACAGCTAGGATACTTTCCACAGGTATGATAGTCTCAAGTGTTGCTTTTAGAAGTACGATGAGATACCCAGTTAGATGCCAGAATGCAGACATTAAAGGCCAATAGGGTGCACCAAATGTACCAGATGGTTCAGACAATTTCACAGAAAGTTCAAACAAACTCTTTTTGCAATGGTTGCCTAAGCACTGCCATAAAACTTGGGGTATATTCTGCCACATATTTTGACTGATTGGGATATAAAATATGTCACTGGGGATCGAACCAAATTACACAAAGATTTCAGAAAATTGTGTACAGATGTAATATAAGAAATGGAAAGAGATTTTACGTAATTCAGGAAAAAAGAATGAAATACATACTGTGATATTGGAATATCCACTAGCGTAGCAAGAAAGGGATTCAAATGTTTATACTGCTGTTTGCACACCCCAATAGTACAGCATATCAAGAGCAGTCATATTATAGGCTATATTTTGTCATAATGATACATTTTCATGTACACAGCACTTTACAAGGATAACCCATTCTTTCTCTGCAATATTCATGTAACTGAACTCCATGACCTTAGTTCTATGTGCTCCACTTGTGCTATATCATCTGTGCACTTTTATAAAAAAAATCTGACTATCAATGACGTAAATGATCAGATAGCAGGCATACAGAGAATGGTCTAGAGTTACTCCACTTTAACTTAGACAGCTAATCAATGGGGAAATCATTAGGTACTTCCAAAACACGCTTTAAACCCTATCTGCTGCTGCTGCACAGCAAAAAACATCAATCAGATGGTTTAGAAAAACAGTAGAAGATGTTAAACTGAGAAGAAAACCCAAAAGGCGTGTCTGGGAAACTTTTGGCACTGCCATTTTTAAATATGAGGTACTCATATTAAATGAGGGTACTATAGGTCAAGTTGAAAGGCATTGGTGCAATCCTGCATTTTATGTGCATCATTTCAGTGTTTGACATTTGCTTTATGGGTTTACCAGCCTTAACTCACTGACTAAGTTTTGGGATTGATTTCCAGACATTATTTGATGTTTTCTTTGAGACAAAAGCCATTCCTTGGAAAAAAAACCTCCTACCATTCTCTTCAATTTAAGTCATTAAATCCTTAGAAGTCTTTTATTTATTGATAGAATAATCTGCATCAAGGTATCTATAAATTGTACCATGAACTCTAGCCTGCTGCCTGCATTGTGTTAGTTGAGCTCAAAATGCAAACACCATTGTGTCAGCTGTGACAATTCTCTGAGAGATAACTTCATAGTGAAATACTAAGATCACAGGTAAAATTTTACCCTGACTGGGGCTAAGATGGGATGTTCACTTTTTTGTCTACTGCTTGAATTAAGTTATGGCCAGTATTTATTTAGTATTTATTCATTGTTCACTCAGTCACCGATGTCAAATCTTTTCAGCAAAATGCATAGCTCAATGACTAAAACATCATTTTTCTTAACTTACTATTTCAAGCAATCTCAGCTTCTAGTGAAACATATTTGGGGGAGTTTAGCTAAAACTTACTTAACACTTAACATAAAATATTTTTTCCTACAAATTTTTTAGGAAAATGTCTAAAATTAATATCTTACCTAAAGGACCCATGCCTATTTGGCGTCACCCCTCCTGATCGAGATCTTGATTGAACCCCAGAATTGGCTTCTTCAATTTTAGACTCTAGTCGAGAACGGATTTCAAAGACAGATTTGGGAGCTTCTTCCTCTGAATCTGAGCCTTGTTTTTCCTTTCTCTCAAGCCTTAGAAAAAGGGAAAAAATAAAAATGTTTAATTATTAAATAAGTTAAAAAACAAAAAACTTTCAATCATCATGTCTTCCACTGAAATGGCAAACATTTCTAGGAAGTTTCATACATTTTATTCATTAATGTGAATACTAAACTCTCCATTGAAATCATGCAAACTTTGGAATTAAATACCTGTGTAATGTATAACTAAACATTAATGTTTTATAACTAAGTTCAGGTCCACTGGACATGTGTGAGAAGAATCAAAAGCCATTATGACTGCTTACATTCTAACTCTTTCAATTTCCTTGACGACGTCTGCTGCTACATCAACAGGAGCTGTTGGTTTCTGGGTATCACTTGCTTGTTCTTCCTCGCGTCGTACACGTAGAGCACATAAAAACTCAGTCTCGGCATCTGTCTCTCCAAAGGAAGAGGCTTTTTTCAACAGAGAAGATTTTAAAATTGGTTTCACCTCAGGTTCTTCTTCCCCACCATGGTCTTTGTTTTTCAATATGGAAGGATGTTTGATGTCGCCCTGTTCATCANGCTACAATATCAAGTGATTTTATGACCACAGTAATTTGAAAGATGCCGTCATAAAATCCCCAAAAGTGTACTTGTATGATGGCCATTTTATGAGGGTATTTCTGGTGTGATGTCATGGAGGAAGGGAGGTTTGAGTCATCTAAGATATGGAGAATTCTCTATCCTCTACACTATCTATGGCAGGTGTACATATGTCTATATTATGAATCAATAATTTTATCACATTTCTGCACAAACGCAGGTGCTTACATATACCATCATAAATTTTCTCTTCAAACGATAGCATTAAGGCCTACAGGAATGAAAGCCATATAAATCATAAGTAATATCTGTGTGAAAACAAAAAAGTGCGTAATGCTTTTGCTTATTGAGTAATAAATCAACATGTACTTCACCGACCATCTACCACTTGGACATTTGTTGACATGAGATCACATTACATTTTATTCAATTATTTTTTTTATCAGTAGCTAGAGAGGCTTACTCAAGGCAAAAAGTGATGGAAAGAGTTGAGGTTTCAAACAAAATAGTGAGCTTTTTTTTACATAAAAAGTACTCCATAGAACATCCAAGTTTTTACCTACTTTTTTAATGTGTAACAAACTAGGCAGCATTACTGGAAAGTACAATATTCATTTTTTTCCAGGATTAAATGGAAGACAAAGAAAGGGATGGCTGTGGTGGCCATAGAAAGCACTATGGCATTATTGTAAAATAACAGGAAGAATTGGACTTGAAATCATTTCTGTGTCCCACGAAACAAGACACTGACATTCTTAGATTACAAATCATACTACCCTGCTACAAACACTGATTCCCCACACATCTTACCTGTCTGCCTCCTTCACCTCCTCTTCTGTAATAGGTTGTGTGCGTGTTCTCCAGTCGTCGTGACTTCTCCTTTGAAAGCGTCGCCTCCTTGCAGCTGCAGCATTAGAAGCATCTGCAACCCCTGCCAGGCGTTCCATCAGCTTGTCCTCCATATTGATTCCAGACTGTGCCTCAAACTGAGGGGTGGTGGAGCCAGAAGATCTGCAAGAAAACCCCCCCAAAAATTAATCACTGAAAATATAGTCTTTGCTCATACTAAGATATATGATGTTTATCAAATGCTGTGGATAATTTATACCGGCTAAATAAAGAAGTGAGAAACACTGAATTTGATGAAATATAATTATCTAATTAAGGTAAAAACTTCAGCATTCACTGCAGTGGAAATAATAAGAACATAACCACTCTAGCATGGAAGAAAATGTACATAACCAGTCATGAGAACTTAATTAAATGAAAATCATGAACAGAATTATAAACACATACAAGGCAGTATGTCAATTAGGAAAAAATACTTGGACAATAGCAACAGATAAACATCATTACATTTCCAACACAAATCTTATCAAACAGAGGTGTTTAAATCTCCTGAGGATATTTTTCTCTCAAATTTAGACCATGTAAGAAAACAAAAGTATTTTTGCTTCTGACCACACAATCTTTATTGTTTGCCCTAAACGTTTCCGGTGGCAGTACCATTCCCAAACTTCCCCACACCTTGATATGAAAACTGAGCCTACTTCAACATAATATTTGTTAAATTTGATCATTAAAATCTTCTTAGTTCAATCATGTTGCAAATTAAGACCAACTATGAGATACTGATAAAAGTAGTTTCATTTTCCATTTGAAAAAGAAAACATACAGAGTACTTAAAATCCTTTGTGCTTTCAACAGTTTGACCTACCTCAATGTACCTGCCCTACAGCTAGGATACTTTCCACAGGTATGATAGTCTCAAGTGTTGCTTTTAGAAGTAGGATGAGATTCCCAGTTAGATGCCAGAATGCAGACATTAAAGGCCAATAGGGTGCACCAAATGTACCAGATGGTTCAGACAATTTCACAGAAAGTTCAAACAATATCTTTTTGCAATGGTGCCTTAGCACTGCCATAAAACTTGGGGTATATTCTGCCACATGTTTAGACTGATTGGGATATAAAATATGTCACTGGGGATCGAACCAAATTACAATTTAAGAAAATTATGTACAGATGTAATATAAGAAATGGAAAGAGATTTTACCTAATTCAGGAAAAAAGAATGAAATACATACTGTGATACTGGAATATCCACCAGTATAGCAAGAAAAGGATTCAAAGGTTGATACTGCTGATTGCACACCCCAATAGTACAACATATCAAGAGCAGTCATATTATGGGCTATATTTTGTCATAATGATACATTTTCATGTACACAGCACTTTACAAGGATAACCCATTCTTTCTCTGCAATATTCATGTAACTGAACTCCATGACCTTAGTTCTATGTGCTCCACTTGTGCTATATCATCTGTGCACTTTTATAAAAAAAAAATCTGACTATCAATGACGTAAATGATCAGACAGCAGGCATACAGAGAATGGTCTAGAGTTACTCCACTTTAACTTAGACAGCTAATCAATGGGGAAATCATTAGGTCCTTCCAAAACACGCTTTTAACCCTATCTGCTGCTGCTGCACAGCAATAAACATCAATCAGAGGGTTTAGAAAAACAGTAGATGTTAACTAAACTAAGAAGAAAACCCAAAAGGCGTGTCTGGGAAACTTTTGGCACTGCCATTTTTAAATATGAGGTACTCATATTAAATGGGGGTACTATAGGTCAAGTTGAAAGGCATTGGTGCAATCCTGCATTTTATGTGCATCATTTCAGTGTTTGACATTTGCTTTATGGGTTTACCAGCCTTAACTCACCGACTAAGTTTTGGGATTGAATTCCAGACATTATTTGATGTTTTCTTTGAGACAAAAGCCATTCCTTGGAAAAAAAAAAAAAAAAAAAAAAAAAAAAAAAAAAAAAAAACCGACCATTCTCTTCAATTTAAGTCAATCAATCCTCAGAAGTCTTTCATTTATTGATAGAATAATCTGCATCAAGGTATCTATAAATTGTACCATGAACTCTAGCCTACTGCCTGCATTGTGTTAGTTGAGCTCAAAATGCAAACACCATTGTGTCAGCTGTGACAATTCTCTGAGAGATAACTTCATAGAGAAATGCTAAGATCACAGGTAAAATTTTACCCTGACTGGGGCTAAGATGGGATGTTCACTTTTTTGTCTGCTGCTTGAATTAAGTTATGGCCAGTATTTATTTAGTATTTATTCATTGTTCACTCAGTCACCGATGTCAAATCTTTTCAGCAAAATACATAGCTCAATGACTAAAACATCATTTTTCTTAACTTACTATTTGAATCAATCTCAGCTTCTAGCGAAACATGTTTGTGGGAGTTTAGCTAAAACTTACTTAACACTTTTTTCCTACAAATTTTTTAGGAAAATGTCTAAAATTAATATCTTACCTAAAGGACCCATGCCTATTTGGCGTCACCCCTCCTGATCGAGATCTTGATTGAACCCCAGAATTGGCTTCTTCAATTTTAGACTCTAGTCGAGAACGGATTTCAAAGACAGATTTGGGAGCTTCTTCCTCTGAATCTGAGCCTTGTTTTTCCTTTCTCTCAAGCCTTAGAAAAAGGGGAAAAATAAAAATGCCATTAAGCAAGTTAAAAAACACAATAATTTCAATCATCATGTCTTCCACTGAAATGGCAAACATTTCTAGGAAGTTTCAGACATTTTTTAAATTAATGTGAATATCAAACTCTCCATTGAAATCATGCAAACTTTGGAATTAAATAACTGTGTAATGTATAACTAAACATTAATGTTTTATAACTAATTTCAGGTCTTCTGGACATGTGTGAGAAGAATCAAAAGCCATTATGACTGCTTACATTCTAACTCTTTCAATTTCCTTGACGACATCTGCTGCTACATCAACAGGAGCTGTTGTTTTCTGGGTATCACTTGCTTGTTCTTCCTCGCGTCGTACACGTAGAGCACATAAAAACTCAGTCTCGGCATCTGCCTCTCCAAAGGAAGAGGCTTTTTTCAACAGAGAAGATTTTAAAATTGGTTTCACCTCAGGTTCTTCTTCCCCGCCATGGTCTTTGTTTTTCAATATGGAAGGATGTTTGATGTCGCCCTGTTCATCTGAGCTGGACAGAACAGACTTTGGATCACTTTCCCGTCGTTTCAGAATTGGTTTTGGTTCTGGGATTTCCAAATCTTGTTCGGTAGAATCCTTGCTTTTCAGTATTGATTGGACTTTTGAAATTTGTTGCTTTTCCTCCTTGTGAAGTTTGAGAATGGAGTGGGGATCTGGTTTGCTGTCCTCTTTCACGCCATGTTTGAGAATGGAATGTGGGAGTTGCTCCTGTTCAGAGGTATTGCTGGCTGGGGCAGACGTTTCCTGATTTTCAGACGACTTGTGCTTAAGAATTGGATGAAGCTGCTCTGTCTTTTCCTCAAAAGAATTTCTCAGTTTCAAAATGGAAGAGGGTCTTATCTGTTCTTCAGGTTTAGTGTCATTGTCATTAACAGCTGTGACATTGCTACTCTGTGCAGGTACTGGTGGCTCCATCTTTTCTTTTGGTTGAATAAAGACACAAGATGGCAGCTCTGGTTCCTGACCAACAGTCATTTTGCTTTCCAGCAATTCTTTGGCCTTCATCACTGATTTGACCTGTTCTGCACCAGAGCCTTCAGACTCCTCTAGATCTTTACTGTTTCTTTTGGCTTCTTCAAGCTTCCTCTCATAGTCTAGCACTTTCTTTTTCCCCTCTTCTGAATGCTTTTCAATGCCTTTACTCCTGTTTTTCAAGATCTTTGCTAATTCCGCAGTAGGCTTGTCTGTCTGTTCTGTGGCAAATTGTCTTCGCAAATGACCGGTCTTGAAGCTTGCAGACCTTTGAAATGGAGCATTTTCACCATCTTGGTCACCCATAGCTTCCTTTTTTCTCTCCCTAAAACTTGCAGATCTTGTTGGACGTTTGGGGATTTCAAGTTCTCTCTCAGCAGAACTGCGATCGTCGCTGCTGCTTGAGAAATCTTGGGGTCGAAACCTCTGTGGTAAAACTAGTCTTTTGGGAGGAGCCTTTGTGGCATTTGGTTCAGAATCAGAACTGGACACATCAGAGCTGGTCCCAGTGCTTGTGAATCTTTTCACCAAGTCTGAGACATGGATGTCTTTCTGGCCTGTGTTGATCTTCTTTGGCGGTGAAGGCTCACGCTCCGCGTCCCTCTCTGGACTTGGACGTCCTATGTCTCTGGCAAATTTTCCAATGGTATTCTCAACCTGCAAAATCCATACATGTTATAACCAGGTATTTATATGAGCCACTAAATCATATATAAGCATAACTAATTCAGTAAACAAGCTCACAAAGTGCATTATATAGGCATATGGTAATAAAGTAAAATTTTCCAGTAATTAAAGGCCCAGGGTTGCCAACTCTGAACAGTAAATTATGCACAAGCTATCCATATCAGGCATTAAATATATAATATAATTGTATGAAAATAGAGAACATGCTACCTTAAGTTATATTAAAGGTTTTGTGATTTTTTTATACGGGTTCTACTGTAATATTGCACTTTTTCTCAAAATCTAATCAATTAACTGCAACCCAAAACTTGTAATCCAATAGACCACTGTTTCTGAGATTCCCCTCGGTGAAAAAAAAGGGTAACTTAGAAGACTTGATTGATCATAATTTCTATGATACTTCAAAAGAGACTATGACATTTATGTACTGCATCACATCTTTGGCATTTGATAAATTGTATTAAGGGAAGCGCTGTCTTTACCAAATCAATCAAGTAAAATATTTTTTATGTCATCGCCATTACCAAGGAGAATTATGAGGCAAAATTTCATCAGTTATAATGGATATTTCATTACAAATCTAAAGCTAAAATTGTGGAAGATTTTTTTTATCTAAAGTTTACAGCAAGCAGGTACTTATCACAAGTGACCAGTTCTGATGCAGACTCAATCTAATGGCAGACAGGTTTCCAAACCACTACCCAGATTTAATAAAGCAACTTGATCTTACTTCTCCTACGCAATTTTGCCAAAGCGTCCATGATTGATTTGTTACCAGCTCCTTATTAACAGGCAATATATCTGGACTAATGAATTATTTCTGCCACTTAATTTCTAACCCCTGAGACCTGTTCAGGTTCAACGTGTGTACTGCCTCTGATGAAGTGAACTCTGTTGTGAGAGCCTGCATACTGAAATACTAAATGGCTCTTTTCACGTGGTATTCTCATCTGTACCAGTCCACTCTGAGAGATAGGGAACTTCACAGCTTGTCACTCAACTCCCCCCTCCCCCCAACCCCCAACACACACATGTGTTTGACATGGCCAAAATATTAACTTAACTACACACCAGGAGAAGCAAACTTGCAGAGAACATGTGTTGAGCCCTTTCAAACTGGACTGGTTCAGTTAGAGCACATGCAGAACAGCGGACTAACAGATCTGCGGATCAAATATGGCCGACCCACTCAAATGCTTGTGTAATCCCCATGAGGAATCTATTCAGGAATTAAGTGGCAAGGTTTTTAGTGGGTCACCATATTTGATCCATGGATTTGCTAGTCCACTGTTGTGAAAGTGCTCTTAAAATGTACTTCTCCATGTTAAAAAGGCCTAGCTATGACTATTGGAACATTTTTTATTTTTTTATTCAATTCCAGAAGTTCAAGTCATGAATAATTGATGAGGAAAAAATTATGTTTTCAACCCCGCCTACCTTTCAAAATATCATAACTTCTAACTGTATTGTTAGAAAGAGGAGCAATTAAGTTTTGTGAAACAAATTGCTAGCTTTCTTCTTCTTTAACACATACAACCTTAAATGGTACATGAAACTATTGTGAACAATCAATGATGTGAACCACAGCAAAACAGCATGGCCCCCTCTCACAGTGCCTAGTATTCACAGAAACACGGAAATGCTCTTCCTGTACATATTCTATTTGTGGAATGAACAATGGCACCATCAGTATCACTTTCTTTCTGTATAATATTATGCCACAGAAGACAGCCGAGTAGAACATGCTAGAAACATTCAAGTTCGCGCTGGATAATGTCATGTTCACAACTGGAAATAAATTAAATGTGGAAATAGACTTAACACCATCATCAGGTAACCAGATTGCTTCACACTGAATTTAAAGACAAGATAGAAGGTCCTTCATGTACTGGTGACCTGGTAATGTTGTTACAATGACTATTTTGCATCTAAGTTCATCTAGCTGTGAACACGACCAGAAGCACATGCAGGGGGCACACATCACTGGCTGTCATAGGAATCTAAAAGCCTATGCATGATCTTGTTGAATTTTTTATCTACAGTTTTGTAATTAGCCAGAACTTTGAACACCTGAATTACTTGCAACACTAATGTTGTCCCCACTGGTTGCTGTTAAGATTGTTGAAATACTGCAATGGCCTTAATCATGATTTCAAAAGTTGGTGAAAAAAAAAAAAAAAAAAAAAAAATCACAAAAATTTGACATATTTCAAAAATTGTTTTACATCTAATTTTTCCTGACAACCAAATATTTACCTGTGGCACTTGATCATTAAAACTCATACCACAAGTACACAAACTCTCTTATTCCTGAAAAAAATTTTCCAATCATTTTAATAATCTTTGGTTTGCAGTCTCTTGTGGTATGTTAAAAATTACCTTGTGACTTTTAATCATGTGTTGAACTTCAGCAGGAGGTTTGTGAGGGCCAACATGGTTGGCGTCTGCTTGGGTTTTGCTTTCAAGCCTTTTCATCACATCCTCGATTGACTTGGAAAAATGATGGAAGCTAGAGGAGCGTGGGGCGTCTGAATAGATAGGCTGCAAAGGCAAGAGGAGAGAAAAAACAAGGGTAAACGACGCAGTAACAACATGCACTGATATCATGCACTGAGGCAAGTCACACACATTAAAATTCAATAATACATTGAGCTGTCTGTGGTGTAGTATGGATGGTTAGAGACCACCACCCCGTAGGGAACAACTTCAGAAGGAGCGAGGTGCTTTTTTTTGAAAAAGTGAACCTTTTTTACCCTTTAAGTAGAACCAACTTGAAAATTGGCATGAAGCCTAGATCCAATTTTGATTGAGAACAGACCATTTTTTGGACAAAGGGGCAATTCTTTCAAATCCCCTGATTCCCCCCCCCCCCTCCGGGGAACTGGAGCAGATCCCTCACTGAACCTCCCACATCTATATCAAAGTGAATCAATCTTGCTTTGTGCTGATGCATTTTAGTTGTGAACCAGTCTAACTTGAACCTTGTGTGATTGCTCAACTACAAACTGTGACAATTTTGCACTAACTTAACTGCCATCACTCAGCTCACCTTGCAGCCAGTGCTACAACATAATTGATCAATACGCCGGGTCCCCTATGTTGTTATCTAAGATCAAAATGATATCTTATGTATGGTGTAATGACTAACATTGTAATTATTCAACCCATATTCCTGCAGTCACTGCTAGCAAGTTCACAGAGATTGCCCACTATCACTGTCTTATGTACAGTTTCAATACCGGCTGTATTCCCAGTATGGTGATTAAGTTTAATTTACATAAAGCACCTGCCATTGAAAATGTTTTGAATTTTTAGCATGGAAATCAATAATACAAATTTTTCTCAACAGCTGAGCAAATCAAACATATGATTTCGACATCATTAATTATACAATAATTGTACTGTCCTGACAAGTATATTTCTGATTAGAGCAAATCTCTGTAACAGTTGTTTTTTTCTAGTTCATTTCACTCTTGTTTAGTTGGTAATGACAACTGTTTCTGAAAATTGCAAAGCTTCTCCCATTTTCTTAAAACCCTTCACTGTCAACTGAAATGATACCTGCATTTCCTTGCTGACAAAATTAATGAATAAATTAGAATACTCAAGGTTTCAGTATAAGTTGACATATATATTATATTCTTTTTTCTTTCTATTTTTTTTTTTTGGGGGGGGGGGGAATAAAAAGCTGCCTGCAAAATTTCTTTTATTCTTTGACAGATGAGCACTTGACATAATAATGTAATAAATCATCAAAGCTAACCAATTATTTACTTTTGGGATGGCATTATTGTGTTCCAAACATGCCTTCAAAGAGACAGAATTGGTTGTACATCAAAACTGAGCAATTTCCATCATGTACCTGTGCTTGGTGACAGCTGGTAAACACAGCAGGTGTTCATCTCTGTCGGAAAATCAAAAACAGGACAAAGCTGACTCATCAATTAGCGTTTTTAAAAACATGCTTTGTGAAGTGATTTCCTTCTGGGTCAAGCTTCTAATGAAATAGGATGACAAGATGACAATTCCCTCGTCAATTTCATTACTGATCTAGCTACCATAAGCGCATTAATGAAATCTGCAGCAAAGCAAAGGCTTGGTTTGGAGCATCATTCAGAGCATTATAACATATGAATAGAAGGGGTGATAATCTGCAGATCATCTGTCAAACAATTTGAAATCTTCATAGTTTGCATCAAAGGCACATGCAATGCTTTAAGCTAATACATGGGCCATGCATTGGAGCAAGGATCAATATGCTGTACTAGATCACCTACAACTGTGTAGAGGGTTTGAACCAGAATTTTACAATATCTCAAATATTCTGAATTGCTTGTTTGCTGAAACCTTTTTAACCTTTCAAACTGAAAAATTTGACAAAATCTGAAACGACGAGAGAGACCATGGAAGCCTTGGTTAAATTCTTAGCAATATCAACTATTTATGAATATTCATTTTGTAATTTCAGGCCTTACAGACAATACCCCTTCCCAATTTACTTCCACTATTTCGTATGTAAATAGACATTACTTAGGGAGACTCTCCTTACCAATTCAGCCTTATTCTCTTCCTTGATACTCTCAGCCTGCTGCAGCTCCTCTGTGGTCACTGGCTGCGTCTTATTTCTGCTGCCTCTCACCTGCTGACTCGTTACCCTTCTCCGTGGTTTGGCCTCATTGTCATCACTGCCTTTTCTACTCAAATCTACAAAACAGAAAGGATAACTTACGTATCAGATGTTTGTGTGTGGCAGATATAAAATGGAGAATTTGACAGTCCTTTCCTGATTGGAAATCTGCAGCTCACTCTCTGAAGTCTATTAAAATCCATACAAACAAAAGGTGTACTGTCAAGCCCAGTCTGCTAGCCTAGCTTGGGTCATAAGGGTAACTGTATCACTGTGCTTCTGTAGTATTCACGCAGAATTACATCTACAATCTTTGGCAAAAGCGAGTGATTTTTTGGCATTGCTGTGGCACAGATACTGGCCTATTGTTAATACACCAGAGATGGCAGGGAAAGTAATTCAATTGTTCAAGAAACCTATGCTCATGGATTATACACATGTCAAATCACAAGAACAACAGAGCTAGCACTCATACACCCTGCAATGTATCATGTGTGTGTAGTGAATACAGATTGGCTACCCTAGCAGGCTACAGCGACCATAGCAGGCTACGACTACCCTAGCAGGCTAGGCCTACCCCAGCAGTCTTATCAATTCTTGACTGCCACTATTCAGGGACACATTCGAGCTGTACCTGGTAATTAAAATAGTAGGCTAGCAACCAAAGTGTGTCTGAGTCTGTCTGTTCCAGACAATCCCAGACATACCATCTGATGCAGAAATAATTCAGATCCCACGAGATGCACCATTTGTCAACTGACAGACGTAATACAATTTCTCTAATGAAATTCTTCCAAGGAGACCAATTCAACTGTCGTGGTTTCCGTTAGCAGTTTTTTCAATTATTTCACAAAAATAAGAGGATTCAGGGGCAAACAGTCACTTACTTGATCCTAAGACAGTTTTTTTTAATGCTTCAAAGTCATATTTTTTCTACAGATCTTGCATATTTACAGCTACTTAACTTTCCCAATCCAGACCTTAACAATGATAAACCTCTATAACAAAAGTGCCTGATGTCAGTATTTCTTTCTGAGACTAGACTACTATAACTAAATTATTTCATAAGGGGTTAACAACATGAATTGCCAATCTCTGCTTGTACCCTTTTATACAATACTGTTACTGTTCAACCTTTTTTTACTGAGAGAGAGAAAGAGAGTCCAAGTATGTAAGTGTATGTGTGTGTGTGTGATTCATAGGCCAAAAGCTGTAAGACTGTATATTTATTTGCTACTGAATAATAATAATAATAATAATAATAATAATAATAATAATAATAACTAGAGGATCAGAGAGGCGATACCGCCTCCTGGTATTGTACCACCAGCTGGAGTAAGCACATTCGAATGGGAAGGAAAAAGAAGGGGGAGGGGTTGACAAGCTGCATGAAATGCAGTAAACAAGGGTTATCATTTTTTATAGATAATTATTATATTTTTAAATCAGGTGGGAAAAAGTTAAAGGTCAAATACAAGGATGTAGTATCATTGTGAATGTAGGACTTCCTCTCTAACTGTAATGGAAACAATATTTCAAAGTTTGTTTATATTTGGGTTAAGTTCAATAGTAACTATGGGCATTTCTCTGTCAGTATATTTTATAAGGGTGGGAAAATTTGCAAACTACAGTTCATGGTGAAAAATAGGTCAAAGGTCAATTTCAAAGTAAAAGTTTCCCAGTATATGACTTCCTATTCAAGATCAATAGCAACTATTGCCAGTTTTGGAGATATAAGGGAGTGAATTTTTTTTTAGTGCAGTTCATTATGAAAAGTAGGTCACAGATCAATTTGAAGGTCAAAGGCTAATTTCAAAGTTACAGTAAGACCCCATTTCCACAGATTTTAGATCGATCTATCCCCATGGGGAGTCTCACTAGATTACTGTCAGCTTAGCTGGCTTAAGTGCCTGTCCTGCCTACTAAAAGCTGTAAGGGGATAATTAAATTCTGTGTGTGGTCGGCTAACTGCAGGGAGTTAGGTCGATCAAGTAAGATCGATCTTAATCTATGGGAATGTGCTCTAAGATTGTCAGTATATCACTTCCTATTCAAGTTCAATGGTAACTATGGGTGTATCTCTGCTAGTTTTGATGATATAAGGACCAGAAAACTTGCAAAGTGAAGTTCATCATGAAAAGTAGGTCAAAGGTCAATATCAAGGTCACAGTTAGATTGCTAGTTAATGACTTCCTATTCAAATGCTATGGGTGTATCTCTGCTAATTTTGGGAGTATTTTTTCATTTTATGTTAACTACTGAATATTGCATTGTTGTACTATTTAATAAAGTGCAACTCCTAAACCGTATGGAAAATAAGAAAATGGACACCACCTCCAGTATTGTGCTTGACAAGCTGTACTTCATGCAAAAAACAAGACGTCTCTAGTGTAAACAGTTCCACAATTACAGAGTTTTTAGTTTCGGCATCAAATGACTGCTTCTCCCGTGAAAATGCACCGATTGACCCCAAACCCATGAAGATGAAGGGAGTCCCTAAATAGTAGTCCTCACTGTAATATGAAAGCTTAGGTCTGTGTAGTTTCTGAAAATTGGCACAAACAATTCTTTTTTTGCAGAAAATTCCCATTTTTAGAAAATTTTGGCCTGTTTGACCTTGAAATAAAGGTCAAATGTCAAATCCAAGGGCATATTTGGAAACTCCATATATGACTTTTGGTCAGACCTCTATAGTAACTTTTTCCATAATTCCTTCAGTTTGGGAGATATTTAGCATCAAATTTTCAAAAATTTTGACAAGGGTGCATTTCAGTGAGCATCACACCCAGACCAATGCACCAACTGAGACAAAAATACCAGGGGGTTCAAGTTGAGATTATATGTGACCTAAATCCAAGAGATGGGGACACAGGTCTTTGCGGTCTAGGAGGAGAAGCGGTAACGGTGACTTGTTTCCGGCGCCCGACTGCGGAGCCGGCGGAGCCGCAGGAGCCGGCGGAGCTGTACGAGACGGGCCGGGACTAAAACCATGAGTACCGCCAGCGTATACGCTGGTGGTACTAATAATAATAATAAAATTATTTCATAAGTGATTATATAAAACATCGAGTCCAAGTGCATGGATGGGTTAAGCAATGATTCACGAGTAGGAGAAAAATTGTTTTTTTTTTAAGAAAATGTTATTTGGCAGAAAAAAAATCCCAGACAGTATACCTCTAAATGGTTTTAAAACTTAAAGGTGCAAGAGGGAGGTTCAGTGGGATCAATTAAACTGATCACATTAATTTGACTTTGTTATAGAATCAAGATGGCAATTCCAAACGCACCACATAACATTGATACCCTTATCCTTTTTCTTTGAGTCTGGTGTCTATACTTTTACAAAGATAAAACAGAATTAAATCAGGCACCTGGAAATAAGAATCACTTTTATCTATCTTCATCCACCTCTTTCAGATGAAACCCACCTTCAATAATTCTGATCCATCCATCAGGTTTGTTACCTACCTATTGAGATCATTCTATTATCTGTTGGTCATATCTTTTTCTGTGAAGCAGTATAAGGTGTATATTGGTTTTTCCAGGACAGACTTCCAGTATTAGTCACATGAACACCTTGTCTGCTGATAACTATCTCAACACAGGTTTGAACATTAAGGGTTTCAAGACACTGGTCCCTGATGAACATTATTTCTCCAAGAAGTGCATTTCATGTGTGCCATAGGAACCTCTAATGCAGACATCCTATTGTTAAATAATTGACAATAAATCTTCCACTGTTTGAGATTTATGAGAGTATATTTTGGAATCAATCTTTCCGCAGCTTATCCTCTCAGAATTCATTTCAAATGTCTCCACATGCAGAGTAATCCAAGTTGTTTAAAAAAGATGAGAAATGAGAAAACCTCTTGGAATCATGACCTAATAACACACAACTTCACAGGATTGTGTCCAGCTTTGCTTTCTGCCTCTATTCCATGCCATGACACATTTCTAGGAACAAATCACAGAATCATGTCCTTAAAATCACCTGCTTCTTTCACTACCATGTTCAAACTAGTGAACTGAAACAAACCCTGCAGAGACACACCTGCTTATTCCTTATGCCACCTGAACACAGTCAACTCATCACGCCTCATTACTCACTGTGATACGATATGACAAGGTTCTACTGCAACCCTGAGTTACACAGCCTACTGCTACTGGTGACAATAACCACAAGACTGATAAAAGATTGTGACATTCAGGGTGATCTGCTTTAGCATGGACATATAGGCAGGAACAGTAAGGTCCAATCTGAATCAAAATTTTACATAGATTCTATGCCATTTCTCAGGTTGGTGCTTGTAAGAGGGTAAAAAAGACACCTCCCCGTTTCCTGGTTTGGAAATTAATGAAAGATTCTGAGCCTCAGGGTGCACTGCTTTGGACTCCAAATCTACCTGCAGTGCTGAATAAATTTACACACTGAATAATCCCCTTCACTTGAATAAATCACCACTCACTTATGCAATATTCATCATCATCTCTGATTTCTCAAAAGACAAAAATTACTGAAGGGGCTTGATTAGAGTCAATCAAAGAGAAATCTTTTTTAAATTCTCATGGGACAAGAAAATGACTTGTTCAATATGGGACAATTGGTACATCCCAGAAAAATTAGGATCTACTCAGGACACAACTTTATTTTAAAAAATTAAAAGTTTATTATCTTTTAAACCAGTCTTTGTTTATATAAATACAAAATTAATGAACAGGGTCATATTTAATGTGTCACTTATGCCCTGTATATATATCTGAATATATCATCTTCTCTGTCAGCCTAATTCTACCATATAATTTACAGAAATTCTGTTATAAATGCATTTCAACAACAAAAAACGTTTTTGATGGTAGAGGGAATATCTGATCCAAACTGGAAAAAGGAAGCTGAAGGCGGAATTTCTGAATGAAATGAATAAATAAAACTGTGTTCTACTGTATCATTAAAATACTCAATCTGCTCATAAATGTCCCTCCCTTAAAAGACCTTGCTCATGGTTGTACAATTTTTCACTCCTTACAGGTAAAATGAAAATCTTGGTTAGATGCATTGGGAAATGCTATTTTTTAAAAG